TCAATTTTCTTACTTTGTTTTTATTTACATTTATAAACACTTAAAATAAACAAATACACAGCTGTCTAAGTGGTTGACTAAATTATAAAAATATAAGTGTCGGACATTTTAAACATTTCTATAAAAATTCTTAGATAATTTTAACAACCAAACAATGAGCATAAAACTACTGTTTAGCAGTAATGACACAAATATGCAACAAATCCTGTTGATCCTAGGTTCTGATTAGTTAGCAATTAAGAAACAATACACACAAAAAAAAAAATTTTTGAGTTTTTTATTAAGATTAAAAAATAAGACTGTACAAAAAAAATTTTCATGGTTACACTGGCAAGTATTTTAGCTTTGAATGTGATATTTCCAAGAGGAATTTTTTTTTTTTTTTTTATTAGTATTAGCCCTTAAAGAATCTATTTGTGTGTGTGGGTGGTGGGGGGCTCTGCTTTAAAGTGTCTGAACTGATTTCAACAAAGCATTTGTATGCATTTAAATATTGCCCTAGATTTATAAACTAAGCAAGAAAAAGAAAACAATGAGCTATGCATTAAAAAAAATTTTTTTCCCCTCTATTATTTTGGAAAATAACCTCAATTTGATTCAATTGATGTTATTTTCCAAAATCTTGGCCAATATGCAAATTAATGCATTGAAAACAACAAATCTTATCAAGGCCTCTCGACAAGTGCAGATATTAATTTTTACATGTTATTTATAAAATCATTTTGCGGAGGAATATAAATTCTTCCTTAAATTTAAATGCACCAAGCTTTAATATATTTCAGCTTTGGGTTTGTAAAATCCTTCAATTGGTTTGGTTGGGGAGTGGGTATCCATTGAGTATTTGTTATGGTTGAGCATTATTCATTTTAATTTAATGCACATAAATGAATAGAAGACATTCAGATTTTATATATATATATATATATATATATATAGTTAAGGAAAACTTAAACCAATGACTTGGTTACTTATTTTATTGCATCTTCTTCCACAGTGAAAGAGGCCTGGCAATCTAGAGAAATACTGACAGGCCAGAATTATTAAAAAATGAAGTGGAAAATACTGGTCAAATTGAACAGAAACAAAGTAGGAGGCCCAAATAGAATCGTAATTGAGAAGCTGGCAGCCTTAGATGATTTTGGCAATAAATGAAATCTATAACAGTGGCAATATAATAGAAGACCTAAGTAGCTCTATTTACATAGCAGCTGCCTAAGAAACCAAGTGCAAACTAATGGGAACTCAATCAGCCTAATGAACCCTATAACAAAACTCCTCCAAATTCTGAAGAATAGAGCATGAATCAGATAGGACATGAACAGTGGGTTCGTCAAAGTCATTGGAACAACGAACACAATATTTGTGCTCAGAAAGAACAATGCAGAAGAGTGTGTACCTGTGTTTTATAGATTATCTAATGCTTTTGCATAATAGTACATCACCAAGATCTGTTGGAACTGCTCAGCAACATTTGACTAAGTTGAGAAGGATGTCAGAATAATCAAGAACCTAGACTGGCAGCAAACTGCCTGTATACAGGTGGAAAATGAATTCAGCAGATAAACAAAAATAGAAAGGGATGTAAGACAAAGATATGTCTTCTCAACCTATACACCAAAGCAATTCTGTGAGAAGTAGAAATCCCACCAGGATTCATTATTGGTGGCCACAATCTTAATATAAGATATGCAAATGACACATTACTGATAGCAGATATAGAATGAACCCACAAAAGCTCCAACAGATGGTAGTGAAGGAAAGTGAGAACACAGAATGCATGGTTGTTAGCAAAATTATGAGCCCAAAATGCAAATTATGAATTAGAGATGCTAAAATCAAACAAGTACAAAAATTTAAACATCTAGCAAATGTTCTAACAAAGGACAGAAAGTGCGACACTGAAATCTGAAGACATTGGGATAACCAAAGATGCCTTCCAAAAGCTAAGTAGAGTATTAAGAGACAGACTTCATTAGAAACAAAGAACTGAACTGTTACATATCTGTCCTATATGTCTGTGAATGCTGGACAATCTCCTCGAAGATAAAAAGACTTGAAGCAACAGAAATGTGCTTCTACAGAAGGATGTTGAGGATACCATGGACTGAACATGTGATCAATGACAAGGTTTTAGAGAAAAAGGTAACTCATACTTAGCAACAGGAAGAAGACAGTTGAAATTTCTGGGGCACAAGGAAAGAGAGCTTGGAAAATCTGATACTCACAAGACAGATTGAGGGATGGAGGAAAATGGCATAACATACTTAATGAGCTTAAGTAAATGGATGCCGAAACAAGGTTTAGAAGAAATAACGAAAAGACAAAATCTGTTAAGAGCTACAAAAGACATGAAATGTAGAGAGCCATGATCGCCTACGTCCTGAGGGCTGCACAGCCCATAAAAACAAAAAAGATTGCTACGTAATACAAACCAGACAGTGCATTATTAAAAATTAATTAGCTGTAAATAATGAACAATGCCTTTTTATAACCATCTGTCACTTAGATTATTGCCAACAGTTTTTTTTTTTTTTTAACTTTACATAAGTAGCAAAATAATTGAAATTGTTTTACCATAACTCGCTATGGAATTTCTTTCATTTGTATTATCAGTTTTATTTTTCATTTTATCTCCATTATAAGATGGAATGATGTGCATGGTGTGTACATTTATCATCATTTTAAGATTTTTTTGATTTCCTTTTCTTAAACAACAAAGGATTTTTTTTTTTTTTACTTCAATACTCCATAGAGAACAAAACCAACAGGAAAATAGTGTTAGACTTTTTAGTACAGACATTTTGGTTATGATACTCTCATTATGCTTAATGTAACCTCAGGACTTCTTTTGGGTGTTGAGTGGATTAAGATATTGGTTAAACCATGTCTGGTTTCCTGGCAGTTCAATCCCTGGGGCCCTAGGAAGTGCAATAAAGTGACATGCTCCCATTCAGTAGAAGAAACTGACAAGTAACACAAAGGAGATAGAGTAGAGAGAATTAAATTATTAAGAGATCCCCACTCCCTCTAAACTTGCAAAGTGGAATGAGGAAAAAATCTAACCCTATAGATCAAATAAAGAGTACAATTCAAAATACTGAGAAGGTTACCAAGTACAACAGATACCTAAATACTGGAGGATACAATAGGCAAGACCTAAGTATAACCAAGATGAACATACTGGTCTGAAAAGAAAGGCATTTAATAAACATTTTTAATAAAATCAATCTTTTCAGTATTAATTATGAAATGTACAATTTTGTTTCAACAATTGATTGCAAGAAAGAATGCTTTTCATAATCTTAACACAATGGTTTTGACAGACCTTGACAAACTTATCAACCAGGTTAGTTCATACAGAAAATATCTATAAGTGGTCAGATTTGGAAAAGTATGTAGGCAAGAAAAATCAGATTGTAAAATACTAGACCAATATAACATTAAAGTTATGACAATTTAATCCCATTCACTCTGAAAAACACTTTGTCAAAGTACTGAATAAATGAAACAAAAATTGCCAGAACTAAACAGTGGCTTCATATTTAGACAATATGTTTTCACATTATTAATGCATTTTTTTCACTACAGTAAATGAGAAAAAGAATGTTGTTTTCAATCTCTTATTTTTTACTGCTGAAACTAATATAAAACAAAGGATTTTCATAGGCCAGTATAATCATTAAATTGATTGTGAGTGTTTTAAAACACTTGCATGTCATATTTTGATCTTATTGAAAAGACTAGCATAAATAACCTTAGAAATAATTTTCTTTTCATGAACCATGTCAGATTGATCATAAGACTTTGAATTAGTAGTTTTTTTTGTTTTTTTTTTTTTTACAATGGAACAATATGGTTGAATTATATGGTTATTAAAATTGTTAATAGCCAACAAAGTACAATTGATAGCATATCAAATAGATGAAGATAGTTTTGGAGAATGTTATAGCTTTCTGTTTTTTTTTTAAAAAAAGAAAAGTTTTGTGATGTTGAAATGTCTAAATAGTGATTTAGCACTTGTTAATGTTTATGTTTTTTTACAATTTGGTAAAAAGCCAATTCTTTGGATGAAGTGTAAAGGACTTCTACAAGTGTAAGTAAATTTTTAAAATAAAAGTAAAGTAAGAGAAAAATTCAAAATATACACCAATCTTTTTTTTTTTTTTAATATAGGTAAGTCTGCACTTTGGAAATTATAGACATTCTGCTATTTTTCTGCTTAGTGCCTTTTGATGACAAGCTCAAATCCTGAGATTGTTAAAAAAAAAAAAAAAAAGTCAGATATACAGGAAGGTGAAACTTATTAAATTTAGAACTTCACCTTAGAAAAAAAAATCTGAACTTACAAGTTAGGCTTCTTAGCTTTGTACTCAACACACAAACTTTATTTAGACTATTATCCTCTGCTTTCCTCCTATACTTTAATTTTAATACAATTTAACACACATTATTATTACACTAGGTGACTGAGAATTTGTTAACATTATTAGGACTACAAATTATTATCATATACCTGATGATTTGGATCAGCATGGTCATCTTATAATATATATCATCATATAATATATGATATAGATCATACTAATATCATTTATATATATATATATATATATATATATATATATGATGATGATGACGACATATATTAATAATATCTATATAAAACATTATGAGCTTAGTTTGGGGAGAGCAGTTCAAATAATTTGCTCAGAGTTAATGTTTTGTTTTACAAACCTCCAGCCAAATCAAGCATCAATTTAATACATAAATTAGCAATCTTACATTTCCATTCAACAGTGATACTTTCATAGAAATAAAGATGAGGATATTAGTCTAAACAAATGTTATCATAAAAGATGTATTAATTGTTAAAAAAAAAACCCAACTCTTTTTGCATGTGAGAAAATTAAAAGCTGAAGCATTTGTTCTTTGAAAACAAAAAGGTGAAATGAGTAGCAATGGTTAGGATTTCTTGCTTATGTCCTAAATGTTGCTTGTGGTCAGTACTTTAATGGATGAATATTGCCTGAAAGAGAAAGAACATCTTTTATTATTTTTTTTGTCTTTTTTTATGAAAAGGAATCATTTAATCATGTTATATTCAAAATTAAAAGGAGAAAAAAACATTGAAACATACAAACTTTTTACAACAGTGTGTCAGTTCACTATCTGATCATGAGACCTGGGTTCAAATTTCACCATGGTTGAGTTGTTTATCAAGATTGTTAAATAATACTTTAGCAGACTTATTTTTTTAAAGAAAGCGTATCTCTGCTGAGGTTGACCATGGGATTAGATACAAGCCATAATATGGGAAGTTGATTTTGATTGTCTGAACTATCGTGGGAAAGGAGAAAGATTTCAGTGAGTCAAGTCTTAACCATCAAGCAATGGAGACGTGTTCTCTTTCATGTCTAAAATGCTCCCAAGTGAGGGGGAATGACCCCCACTGGATAGTACATGTCGACATTAATAAAATAGTTAAAATTCTCTGTGTTAAAGTCTTTCCTTACTGAGCTAAAACAATTTTGAAAATATGAAATTTTGGTTCATCATTCCCAAAGAATATTTGCAGTACAAATTCAAAACTATTGCTACATTTCCAGATTATCTCAACACGACAATACTGGATTTTGTTTCTCTCAAAACCTTTCTTCCATAGCTTACCCATTAACTGATGACTTACCCAATGTGATATGCTATTATTAATTCCCATCAACTGGTCAACCTGACGTGATATATTTAGCCCCATTAATAGTATCCTGCCTCATAGCATAGCAGGTAACCATGAGAAAATACTGAAAAGAATTCCCTTCAATTGGCTGATTCTTATTTGAGGAAAAAAATGAATAAAAATATGGATCAACAAAAACTATATATATATATATATATAATGGTTGAAAAGTTACAGCCAGTTAAAAATTGCCAATTTGTTGAATATTTGTCTTAAATGTCAATGCTAAAATACAGAGCAAGTGAATTTGGTACTACAGAGGGAACATACAAACTAACCACTTTAAAGAATTATGTGCCTGAGCATGACATCATAAATAACTATCTACTTTATTTTCCCAGTTCCATCTTAATGGAGACAAAGGAAAACTATCCAAAAATAACTTAAAAGGCTAAAATGCAGGCTGTCTTTCTGCTAAAATGTGAATACCACTTTTCACACCCCAAATCAAATATTTTAAAATTATAATGCCCTGCAGCTTGTAAAACCCCAAATGAAACGGTAAAGCACATATTTTTCTGAAAGGTAGACTTTTAAGGATTTCATTTTAGTTTAATTAGTCTGCTTATATTGTGGAATTTTGAATAATCTTTTTCCACAATTTTCTCTCCTGATTGCCACTAAATTGCAAAAAACAACTATAAAAAATATTCTTATTGATTTTTTTTATTTAACTTATCATTGATGACATGTATGCCAAACAAAAATATCTATTTTTTTTTAATGTCCTGTGATTTGTGCCCACTGCCTAGGATAAGACAGTGGAAGACCCAATGAAAGTATAATTTATGTATGTATGAGGAAGGAAGGAAGAAGCAATAAAAGAAGCTCATTTTTCTTATTTTTTTTCCATTCTGACTCCTTGAAGAGCATAGAACTGCAATTATGCCAAGTAATGTTAATGTAAGAAAATGAATCTTTATGGGGCCAAGTTACTAGCCAAATACCCAAGATGGACTGCCTTATAGAGCTAAAAGGGGTTCCATTCATTAGACATCTGTTAACCTTGGGAGACTATGGAGTTGTGCTCTGAATGATGTTTAAAGCACAGTACAGTATCCATAAGGTGTTGATGGGCATATTTAAGAATGATAGTCATTTCCACAATTTGCGCAGACCCATTTTAATGCTGGTCTGTCATATTTTGGGCTCTCATTCTTTGTCTTTTCACCTCCATTTTGTAAATGGCATTTTAAACTTGAAGAGACCTTTCTGCATTGTCTTTCTCCAGGATGATCATTCAAAAAGCTCCAGCTTGTCTGGGATGATGCTCAGGTTTTTTTTACAGGCATCTTTGTAGCATAGTCAGTGTTTTCCCTTAGCCCTAGATATTTGAACAACATCCATTCGCAGGGCATGTTCAAGCCAGTGCAGGTGTATTTGCTTTAAGAGGGAGATATGCTAGGAATCTCAGACCTCTTGAATAGATTCTCCCCCTAGCTATGGGTAAATATCTAGGGTTTTAGTACAAAATGCAAACTGTACCAACCAGAATTTGAACTTTATTCACCAATTCTACATGCCACCAATATCTAAATTATAGTTTCTCACTTGTAAATAAGAGAACAAAATAGGAGTTATATAGATGATAATTTAAAATCAGATTTATGAAAAAATAAACTCACCTGTTTCCGACAAATTACGAGCTTTCTGAAAAGATGCCAGTGTCTCATGAAATTGCTGACGTTCTCGGCCCTGAAAAGTTATTTTTTAAAAAGTCAAACTTATATATTAACATTTTAAACGCTTTTTACAAAGAACATAAAAGAAAATTATATTTTTTTAAAAAATGTAGTAATTTGATTAACAATTTCTAGTCACAAAAAATAAATCCAGTATTAAAATCTCAATTGAATCATAGTTACAAAAACACACCAATCGATTCTTTGTGCCTTTCTTTTTTTTATATTGGCCTTTAACTTCTAAACTACATGTTATCCAAATTATGATGCCTGCTGTAGTGCAAACCTGTCTCACACATTAATTAGCTGGTAAACATATTTGATCCTCACTTTGGACTCCACTACTGTGGCCTTGTATCAGACTACGTTAAGTTTAGTAAAAAACATCTATATAATATTAGGTCATTAATAAGATAATAATGTATCTGTAGACAGTTTACCTGCTAATATTTTCAAGTATTTATACGCTTCAGGTGAGTTTCAATTACTTTCCAGTAATTTCCTTCTTCAAGTATTTATACGAGCAAGAAAAAAAGTTTAAAAGATAATAATCAAGACAAACTCACCTTTCCTGTTTCTAGTTCTGTAATTGCCGCTAAAATCTGTCGCCTGGACTCATTGTGGGAGATTCCTAACTCTTTTAGGTCCCGATCAGTTAGAGTAAGAAATGCCTCCATGTCAACCTGCCAAAAAGAAATGTTCAAGATTTAAGACTAAACAATTACTTCCAAATTACAATCTTCTTTTCTGTAACAAAAGAAAATTTGATACAGTAACGAGTGTTGTATCTTCTTTATTGACAGAGATAGAGCAAATTGAATTGAAGATACAGTTTTAAGTTCCTTAAAGCTCCTCTCAGAATTTTACCATACTTTATTTTCCAGTTCTTTTCTTTGTCTTTCAGTGAATATCTGTTGGAGGCATGGTAGAGTAATGGATAGTAGCTTGGATTGAGAAATCAGAGAGCAGAGTTGGAATTCCAATAGAGTTCATTACATTCATTTACATGTTAATACCCTTGGGGAAGGTATGAATCCACCTCGTTTCCCACCAGCTATGGGTAAATAGCAAGACAGACTGGGTCCTATAGCCTTGGTTGGTAACTAGTCTAGGAGAAGAAAAACTCATATTTCAAACCATCCTGGAGAATTAGGTTCTCTTAAGCTATCTTGCTCCAGAAACACCACTGCTACTGTCATACACGTGGTGTCCTTATGACCCTAACAGATTACAGGTCTTGTGATCATATCTGTTGAGAAATGGTTATTGACAAAGCTCTGAAAATCAGGTGAATGATTCTACCTATTTTTCATCTTATCAGTAGGCACAAATCTTAACCTCACAATTTCGGCACAATCTGGAAGATCAAAATTTGATAGTGTTATTAGCATCTTTTATGCTAATAAATATAGTAATACAATGATGTGCCAAAAGTCACGGGAGAATTGCCTAGTATTGCATAGAATGCCATTTAGTCTGTCAAAGTGCAGCAACTTGACATAGCATCAATTCTACAAGAATGATGTTCAGCCACGTCATCTTGCTAGCTGCTGGCAGCTCTCCGATATTTGTAGATGCAGGATCTTGCATGCAAATAGACCTCATGTCCCATAAATGTTCCATTGGGCTCACATCGAGCAAATGTGGTGGTAACACAATTTGTTGGAAATCTCCAGAATGTTCTCAAACAACTTCATGTTGCCAGTTTTCCACCTGTTAACTTTTATAAAATTTAATAAATAAATAAAAAAATTACAATTCAATTGCATTCTCCCATGTATGTCTTTCCATGATGGGTTGTAAATAAATATATAAGATTAAACAAAAATTACCTCTTGTTCTTCAAATATAGGGTGATATCGTTCTAAAGAAAGCTTTCGTAGAATTCCTGAAATTTCATCTGTAAAATAAAATTAGAAAAGTAATAATGTTGTCTTATCTAATCTAAGCACAACTTATGGTTTTCATTTACTTTTTAATACAATTTTTACCACATAAAACTTACCTTTTTTTTTTTTTTAATTCATGAGTGTCAACATTATTACATTTCAGAAACAAGCGTCAAAAATAAGGCTAATTAAAAGTATGTTATTGAAATTTCATTTTGCTTGATAAAATAAATCTACAGCCGGAAAAAAAAAAAGAAGAATTTTACATAATAAAAAAAAATGACAAAAGAAAAAAATCCAACAAATACAAGGTGTGTTCAGAAATGTTTGAAGACTGAATATGATCCCTTTTACAGCGTTTTATTTCATTACTTTATTATTTATATATACATATCATTTTCTAAGATTTGCACAATTTTCATTGTTCTCAACATTTTATTGTTTATTATATATATATATATATATATATATATATATATATATATATATATATCATATTCACAAGATCTGAACAATTTTCATTGTTCTCAACATTTTCTATTATTTACACTCCTGAAGTAACCAAAAAATCAAGATAATTGACAATGACAGATAAAAATTAGAATTAGATACAAGGTATCCCAAAAGTCAGTGGGGGATTTAAAAATGTCATAACATGTCAGATTTCTCATAATTTTTTCTTCAGAACTTAGATTAGCATGAGGAAATTACCCATGGAAAAATTCACAGCTGAACAGAGAATCAAAATCGTCAAATTGTATTACAGATTTAACTAATCCACCATTCACACTAAAAGAGAATACTGCCAACACTTCAATGCCAGAAAACAACCATTGGATATCATGATTCGTTAGCTGATTCAATGTTTTAGACAATATAGTTCAGTAAGTGACTTGCCACAATGTGAAAGACCATGTGTATTAATAAACCCCAAATAGGTTCAACAACTCAAGGTTAACATCTGTGTAGAAATTTGAGGGCTGCAACCATAGTTATTAGCTGCTGCTATCAAAAGGATGCATCTGTGTGAAGTCAAAAATAAAGGATATTTATGTTATATAATTTTTAATAATTAAATCGGAATATATTTCCTATGTTTGAATTTTCATTCTCTATAAAACTATTTTTGTATACTAAAAAATGTGGAAACTACAATATTTTTAAAACCTTAAGTGACTTTGGGGACACCTTGTATTTGAGTACTAGACTATTACTGAACTTTGGTGAGGATAGCCTGTGGAAACAACTGTTTCTTGAAAAATAACAGCTTTTGCTGAAAAATAAGATAAAACGAAAGTATTCTTTTTTCTGTCCTCGTATCATTAAGAACGTAGGCTCTAAACTTTGGGAACACTCATCCTAAATAATGACTGGTTGCTCATTTCAGAGTACACCTACTTTCTAGGGTGGCTCGCTAATCCCTGTTGCAGACCCTGCTCAGGCACATTTTTATTTTTTCAACCATCACCAACTTGTGTTTTATAGTGCAACTATGCTGGGCAGACCTTAGTTACTGTTTCTAGGAGAGAGTTGGTTTGTTGATTTTGTTTAGCAGCATATCAACCTCTATGGACTGTTTAATGCCAAAATCTTAATATTTTTGGATGCAAATTTATGCCTTCAACTACAGATATTTTGTACAGAATTTTATCCTTTCAGGGTAAATGTATATTTTTTTTTAGATATATAGTTTGTAGATGATAAAATGTATTATTTCTGATAATTTCACTATAAAAATGTATTTTTTTTCTTTTTACCCAATACAAGGCTCAAGAACCATTCAAGGCAGAGGATTACTGTGTGGAGTTATATCAGCATAGGAAAGAAGAAGGATTAGGAGTATAGAGCTGAAGTAGACTTTTAAAAGGAACAGGAAGCCCAATCTTAAAAAGAAAAGAACGGATAAATCTGTTCAAAAGACTGGGGAGGAGTGTGAACCGGACAATAGGTGAACCTATCTGCTCCTATTGGTGGAGAAAAAAATAAAAAATAAAATGAAATAAATAGTTATTGAATAAAATTTCAGAGTTCAGGTGCAGATGTTTAAAGTACAGAGCTGAAGCAGACTTTAGAAGGACCGGAAACCCAATTGTAGAATTGCAGCTCAGACCAGACACCAAGTTTATTGACAGGGTGTAGCTTCTTCCAGTCAAATACTTGTGGCTTTAAAAATAACTCTTCGGCCAGATTGTTATCCATGAATGAAAACCATAACAATTTCTATCAGTTAACCAGATTTTATTCTCAGGCTGTAACCTGTGGCTACAGATATGCGAAGCCAAGATGAGGATGAGGTGAACAGTTTTTCCTTGCACTCATTCTCTGTGAAGCACCTCAGTCTCTCTCTCTTTTTCGTGGGCAGTAGTCTCTGTTTATTAATGTTGGTAATATTTTTATAAAAACGTATTGTTGGTAATTTTACTATAAAATGTATTTTTATACTTATTTTAGTGTTGTATTGTTAGCAATTTTTCTATAAAAATGTATTGTTAGCAATTTTCCTATAAAAATGTATTGTTAGCAATTTGATTACGAAAATGTACTGTTGGTAATTTGATTACGAAAATGTACTGTTGATTTTTGTTTGAGTGGTTCAACTATTTGCTCATAACTTGAACCCTAATAGTTTTGTTACCATCCTGGGTCAGGGTGGACCTGAGAACAACAGCAGTTAAGAGGGGGTTCCATGCTCCTCCAATCTTCCAATCAGATGCCTTGCTGCTTGATGTAGTTTGTCATCATACCCAGGATGGTCTAGAAGAGAGTGAATAATCTGGAGTGATCATAAGTTGAACAAGGCCAATACACTTGAACCATCAGTTATGATGACTTATGACTGTGAGCACAACCACTGATGGCTTCTGAATAATAATGTTTACCCAATTTCACTCACATGCTGGTGGTATGATTTTCAGTCACTTCTCAATGCTTGGATTGTCTCCCTAGGCTGATATTATGAAGAAGTTACTGCTTTAGCAAATTGACCGTGGTAAGATTTGAGCCTTGGTCTCATGGTTGAAATGATGAAATTCCAACCAATTGGCAACACCCCTATATAACAATCTTAAAACCAACTTACCTTCTGATCCAACATTCTTCTTATCATAATCAGCACAGGCTTCCTCCTCAGTCTAAAAAATGTAATCAAAAATTATATTTCATTAACATATTTAAACATTTAAATTTTTGGACACAGTTTTCAGAGTAAAGACCTGTGTTTCCTATATATATATAAAATTCTAGGACTTCTGTTAGTCCGTCAATCCTTGCCGTCACACCCTCTAAAAAAGCCATAAATTAACTGATCAAAACCAAATTTTGTGGAGAAGTACAAACAGGTAAGGGGATATAAAGTACAGTCAGTTTTACTAGGGTGCATAGTTAAATACAATAAATTTTCATTATTTTTTTTTTGAAGAATTAAGAGTTTTAATATTTAACATACAAAATACTCCCACTATTTTAAAAACAATTTAATGATTAAAATAAATACATATTTAATACAAATGCAATATTGTTTTTTGCATATCTTTTCTTTAAGTTTTTTATATATATATATATATATATATACAAAAATCCAGTTTCCAGTTCACTCTGCATTTGCAAGAACTATAAACAAACCACAAATGCTTCAAAAAGTTGAAATTTGGCTTCAGAAAGAAATATTTATGCATGGTCAGTTGTATGTTGCATGCTTAAAAGTAAGAAATCCTAAAAATTTATTCTTCACTGTTAAAAAAAAAAAAAAAAAAAAAAAAAAAATTTTCTTAAAAAATCCTATAAAATTAAATTAAAGAAATTATTAAACTGTGAAGTAGTTTTTTTGTCAAATTATTTTTCCAAACAAACCAGCTTATTCAAATTTCATTGAGTGGTTTATGAAATTGAACAAATTGTAGAGTTTTGTAAATCTTGCCAAAAATGTTGGTGATAACTTTAACAATACTAAATATTGTGAGGATTTCAACACACCTCAACATGTTGCAAAAAAATTCTAGTATTATAAAAGTTCAGACATCAATCTGAAAAATCCTTAATTTTTTTCTTAAAAAACAAAAAAACAAAATAAAATAAAAAAAATTCAAATCTCTTATCTGCAGCTGTATGTATTTATATATAAATCTTGCATTGAAACAATGACAAATGAGACAACTTTATCATAAAATGTAAATAAATCAATAGAAAATCCAATGTAAAGTTTTTTTTAAATGCTCCTGTTAAATAATTTTCAGGTCATGGAAACTTTGTTATTTGTCTATATTTCATGAAAATTGTTAAATTTTAAAATTCAGTGTATAACAGGGTGCTAGTTGCATGAGAATACAAAATGGTGATTTGAGGGGATTAAAAATTAGAAATAAATTGCAAAAATTTCTAGCAGGATATCTAAAATAATTGTGAGGAAAATGGGAAAAGACACAGAGAATTAAAGTTAAATTAAACATATAAAGTTGATGAGGGAACCAGACAATTGTACCCTGAACAAATTTGGCAAAAAGTCAATAACTTTGGAATTTCATATAGGTGGTCTTTTTTTTCTCTGATAAGGGAAAATATTTACTTGGATTTCTGAGCTGAAATCTGATCCAAGAAAAATAAATTCTTAATAAAGCAATTCTCATTACAAGTTTTTTTCTGGCTGGGGCCATGTGTTTTGGGACAATGAATCTGTTGAGATAATACAAACAAGTGGAAATTTTTGCAAACAATAATGTCAAACAGGGAAGGTGTGCCCAGTGGGGAGATCACGATATAAACTGGAGAAGCATTTGGCTTTGAGAGTTACCAGATCTCTTGAGAGAGAGAGAGTGCTAAGAAAATCTATATCATTCAAAGACAAGAGCACACATGCATTCTGTGGATGGAGCAGATACACAGACTCAAGGAAAACAGGGGTTCTACAAATGCACTAGAAGGCAGCTGCTACAAGGATTGTCAAAGCCACCATATGGAGAAAGGAAAAACAAAAACAGCTATAATTTGGTGGAAATGAAAAACAAAATCAAGGACCTCAAAATACTTTGAAATTACCATTTTGCTAGTGTGTAGAAGATATGTGATTGTGTAATATTCCCCATCAATTAATTATTAAGTTTTCTGAAGTGGTCACTTGTTTTGAAGAGATCTATCCCCTTAGCTTTGATATTCAAAGATTGGTTTTAAGATAATGTGAGAAACAAATTACCACATTCTCCAGAACAGTTTAATAACTCCTCTGTGGTATACACAACAAACCCCTAGATGATTGCCGTCAAAAAAACAGCATTTGCTTCAAGGAGTGTGAGACTGACTGGAGCAACTGACAAAGATACATACTCATGTTTGGCCTGGCAGGCACACCAGACAAGAAAATGACCATGTATGTCTGCCTCAAACAAGTTCACACCTGGAAACCAGAGAGTATGTGGTCATGCATCTGTTTACCTTTCGTTTTTGTGGCTGGAAGTGACCTGATCACAACTGATTTCTGTGATCACACTAAGTCCATTTATAAACATAGGTTTTAATAGTATAAAATAGACATACATTACAGTTCAAAAGTTTGAGGCCACCTCTGGTAATTTTTTAAAATTAGCCCAAAAAGTAGTCATTTTGTAATTTAAATAAGAGAAAATTATTATACATGGTTAAAAAAATAAAAAAGATGTGATATTCTTTTGTTAGAAATTTTTTTATGACAAAAAGAAAAAAAGCATTTTATGATTAAATTTTGCTCTCATCAAAATATCCTCCTTTAGCCTTGATTACTGCAGCATAAATTTTTGGCATTTGTTGCAAAAGTTTCTCAAAGTACAAGTTTGATAATTGATTCCATTCTTTTTTCAATGATTCTAAGATAGAGCTGAACAACAGTCCGCAGGCCACATCCAGCCCACTGAAGATTGACAGAATTATGACTACATTCATTTGACCTTGTCCTGTAATGCCTGGCATCCCACTAGGTGGCACATTCACCTTATTTCCAAGTACCATGGAATGGCTGCGCTGTGGTCACCGGAGCTGATCACTGCCACTAATGTCACCTCCCAGCAGTGTCTCTCCGCACTGTAATGCTATCAATCCATAGCAGTTCTATTTTTGACGGAGCCATTGCTAAATCATGTCAAGCTCAGCACAGCAGATTGCACCAGACAGGAAATCCGACACAGGATCAATGTAATATACTTCTGCTCTTTTCTAAGTAAAACACTACGCAAGTCATATATAGCTGATCGCAACTTCACATAAACATTATGCCATAACTGGTGTCACTAGGTCAACAGGGTGACTGACTAGCAAACTTACCCATGGTAGAAGCAGAAAATTGAATAGAGGGCCAGACGAATAGTTCTTTCACATTGGAGAATCAAAGTAAGCTGTTTGTTGTTGCTGTTTTATTGTGGGATCTCATGGTCTCGCGTACATTCAGGATTATTGCGTGATCTTGCATGAATATGGCTGACTCGCAAAGCAGTGCTATGCTGCCATGATGCACCCAGTGGAGATTGATGAAGGAAAAAAAAAAAGGATGGAGCAAAACCGTGGTGCTGACACAGCCTTGAATCCATCTGCATGTATGCATCGGGTGCTGGCCTGACCTGTCTGTCAATTTTTAAAAGTCAGTGTGGCCCCTGAGACAAAAAGTTTGCCCACCCCTACTCTAAGAGCTCTTTTTCATTTTTTTTTTTTTTTTATTTCACTCTTCTGTAAAGTTCATCCCATGTTAATTCTGGGGATAGCTTTAAATTTTTGAACTATAGTGTACATTTATCTACACACACAAGAGACAAAAAGCCTCATGCATATAGGTCAGAATACATGCTGTAATTTTTTTTTTTTTTATAGAGTTCTAATAATACTGGAATATTTTTTTTACAAAATTCTATTTTAGGTTTTAAATTCTTAAGTTTTCTTTTTTTAAATGCAGTATTTTATGATTTTTTTAAAACCAAAATTTAAAACTTCTCAGCACTTTCTGGATTGGACAGCTTGAAGGTTTTCAGTTTAAAACCAATTTTGCATTTATCAGGTATTTGAACATTTTACTATCAGTTTTTATAAGTTTTTCTTTCACCCTATTGTATTGCCTTTTAAAACAACATTGAAATCATTACATTCTATGACTATAACAACCTGAAGCATTAATTTTGTCTCTCATTGATTAGAAGCCATGAGATGACGACAAAGACTTTGGCCTTCCACTGAGGCCACAATGAAAAGACAGTCTCCAGCATAAACTTTTCTATTTAATACTTCATCTTGTAACAAGCTGAACTGAAACAAATTTATTTTTCAGAAGATTTTTCTAAATATATCTACATATATACAATTCAAACTTTTGGAAGAAATAATTCAAGTTTTATAAAGATCCTCTCTTGCAAGCACCTAGTTATATCAAAAAAAAAAAAAAAAACATGATTTACCTTTCCAGGTGTTGGGGATGCAGATGGGGTCAGTGTGGAAGTACTTCTTCCATGGGATGATCGATGTGGTGTCATGGAGGAACTACCACTTGTAGAGCTGTCAGGAGATGTGGTATTGGATGCATTGCGCAATGCTGATAATCCCACAGGAAGTTTATTGCTAAGATTAACAATGTGACAGAGTTAAAAAGAAAGAAAAAAAAAAAATCAATAAAAAAATGAAAATACTAAAATTAGTAATATTTTAAAATAATAATTTGTTATATTTTATTAAATATGAAAAAACTCAGACATTTCTTAATATTTTTGAGATAAAATTTTTAAAAAGGAAACTAATATATTTACATGTATTCACATAGTACTATCATATCATATCATATATATATATATATATATATATATATATATATATATATATATATATATATATTTATTCAAAAATTATAACATAAACATGTTATAACATCACTACAAAAATAGCCATTTTGTTTCAACACTTCTGGTGTTTTATCAAGTGATGATGTTATTCTACATTCAATATCATCACTTGATAAGATACCAGAAATGGCTATTTTTGTAGTGATGTCATAACATGTTTATGTTATAATTTTTAAATAAATAATATTTGCTCTACTCTGTATTGAGCACTCTTTTAAGAATAGTATTTTTGGTTACTGGAATTTATTCCATCTACACCATTCCTGTACTTGGAGATATATATATATATATATATATATATATGTAGTAAGGTAATGAAGTGTTTTGTAATCCGTGTGGATAATTCTAAAGAGGAGGTGATCCAGAGAGCTCAATGTAAAACCAGAGCAAATATTAATTAAATAATTAAGAAATAGACAACCTTAATTTTCTATGACTATAATTTATTTCCCCAGAAAATATATTTTTCTTGGTTCATCAGGTCACATCTCTCAGAATAAACCACCCAAGATAAAGGGAAGACACTAAAGCAAGCCATTGCCTATAGAAAGCCTGAAAAATGAATTAGAAACTGACCTTATCAAAAATCGCCAGTGTTCAATGCCTATATTAAGAAATCTGAAATGGCTAACGTAACCCAGATAGAGTTGCAATAAAAACCAAAAATATGTCCAGAGATGCCAACCTTGAGTTTCACACTGTAACTGATGATGACAGTTTTGGTGTGAAACTGGGAGTCTCTGGATAGATTTTTGGTTGCTATATTTTTTAAATTTTTTTTAAATTGTGGTAACATGATGCTTGTTCACTTTGAGTAGCACAAAGCATACCTCGTGTTACCGTAAGAATGGATTTTCTCATTGCTCACTCAGAAGTGTTGTTCTTGTCCTAAGTAGTATCGTTCATTGCCAACCTTTGTGTGATTATTCTATTCAGTAACCTTCCCTAGGTTACAACAAAGTATTACCAAACAACAAGTGAGTCTATTGTTATGGACAGAAAAACAAACCGTCACACTGTACATTATTCTACATGAAATTTAAGGCCAATATAAGTTTATACAGAAAACTTATCAGCTGTCATTTTTCCTTTTGAAAGTTTTATTGGCAAACAATATGGAATCCGTTATGTTACATAGGTACCAAGAAGAGTACCGTCTCAAGTTAGAGAATGAGATGAAATATGAAATGTAAAATTTTAAATAGTTTAGTTCTTATTTGTCTATAATTTTGCTTTCCAAAAGTTGTTTAGACTATTGAACTCATCCTTTGTATTGCTTTTGTCTTGAGCCCAGCATACTAGCTGATTCCATTTGACAGCCTTCATGATGTGTACCATTCAGGAGGAAAGAGAAATGGTTTCTTTTTAGAGGGCGAACAGAAAAATAATTCAATTCAGCTCATGAGCCACACAGTTCAGAGTATTCAGAGCAACTTGTATAACATAACTCAGAAGTGGTGGAACTCATTGCCGAGTATTGGAGTGCTCATCAACATTTCCTTCTGTGTGAACTGAATCCTATGTTGGATCTGAAGAGATGTCCACAGCCATTGCATGGTAGGGTAGGAGGGTTCAGGCTCTGGCTTTTCTTTGGGCTCACTTTGTCTCTTCTATTTGTTTTCGAAGGATGTTTTGTGTGGACTGCTCTTCTTCAATTGATTTTTTCTGCAGTTTCCATCTCCCAACTGACAGGATCGATTTCTGCCCTCAGCAAGGTGTTTTTGAGCTGATCCTTGAATCAATGACATGGGGCTCCATCTGGTCTCTTGCCAGATGTGAGTTCAGAGAAGAGGATTTGTTTAGGTAGGCAGGTATCTGGAATTTGGGCAAGGTGTCCTGCCGATCAAAGTTGATGACAAGTCTCGATGTTTTCTAGGCTCTCCATCCTTTCATGGAGGACTTCATTGTTCATGATCCATAACATAACTAATACCAGATTAATATCTAGTCTCTAATTCTCCACATAAGCTTACTGAGCAAAGAAGATCAAACCATGAAATCTACACAGGCTTGACTTTCACATCTGTCTGAGAGGTTAATGTATGCTGCTTCTTACTTTTTTTATTAATTAGAAGAGTTCCACAGGTGAGAAGTGCAAGAAAATCTATTAGAATAGAACTTAGTTACATCTAGCTATTTCAACAGTAAAATGATGGGACCTATTTGCCAATCTAGTAATACATTTAAATTCATGCAGTTGAGGTACCAAGGAGGAGAGCTTATTAGAATGACTGCCATGAAAATATTTATAAGAAAGAGAGAAGGAGGCCATATCATGGTGTTGGACAAGTGACTGAAATCAAGATGCCAGTTCAGGACCGATAATATTAGACTCTTCTTTGGATTTTGTTGAGAATCTCGAGATATAAAGCCAGAGCACTAGACCGTGATCAAGGCACCCACCCTCAGGATGTGTCCTTCTGTGTGCAATGTCGATGGGATACCAGATTGGCTTTCACTCATTACACTTTTTCCCGCCTTGAAGTATTCTACTCTCTTATACACTTTTTGTCGATTCATAGCATATGCTGCATACTTTACAGACATCTAACGATGGATTTCCTCAGATTTGATTCCCTCTACCCACAGAAAGCACATGACTGTGTTTTTTCTTCAATAGTCCAATCGCTGAGTGGTGTGTCCATACATCTGATCTCATTGCTCCTTGCCACTTGACTGAATGATGCAATACTGCATGCAGCTAGCTAGATACCATACATCAGTGCCTTTCTATTTTTATCACATTTCAAAATTTTTTTTTTTTTTTTTTTTTTTTATTTACCCTCATATATTAAAATTCAATTTGGGTCTTTCCCAAACATATTTTTTATGCAACTACAATTAACCTTTTCACTTTCTTTTGGATTAATAAGAAAAAAAAATCCCTTTTAGATGAACTGGTGAAATTTTTCAGAGAAGTAAAAGTTATTCTTAAACCTATAGTGTAAATAAACAGATATTATTTATGTTTTAAAAAAAAACAATGTGAACACATATTCTTAAATTTTAAAACAAAATGCAGAAAGTGAAAACTCACCTGTAGAGACGTTGAGTCGGGGTATAGGTAGGACGGTTTGAAACATATTTGGACCAGATGAGGTTTAAATCAAGCTGGTGATAATCCACTGCAGAATAAAGTAAATAGATCTTTAGAAAGGAACATTTTAATATTAGAGAATTCTTCAAGTAAAATACACATACAAATGAACAGGTATGAAAGAATGTTGTTTTTATTTATACTGCTTTTTATGATTTGCATTAAGTTTTTTATCATTAGCATTTATTATTAAAATAGTATTTTATTATTAGCTTATGAACATGATACGACTCAGATTAGTTCAAGAATTAAGAATAATTTAAGCAAGAAGCAAGCTTAGATTTTCTTAAAAGCCACTTTATTAATCACTGAAATTTCTAACTCTTAAACCTGAAATAAAGCCCAAACTTGAGAATGTACTAAGCATGACCAGGCTCAGGTAAAATTACCTGGTGCTAATTTAAAAAAAAAAAAAAAAAAAAAAAAAAAGAAGGTAAGAAAAAAAGTTTGTGTACTTTTGGAGAAAATGATCATGTAAAGAAATATAAAAAATTTATATTTTTTAAATATTAGATTTTCAAAGATTAATGCTATGAAAAGGACAATTTATTTTGTATATTTTATAGTTTTGTAAACTAACATATTTAAGAGAAATGGAAAATATTTTAATTGGGAAACATCACAAGTTACACAAAAATTATACAAAAATCTAGTTGATCTTTCAGCTTTGTGCTGATCATATTAAGCAAGTAGACTAGTAGATTTTTAGTACCATCCGCCTTATCTTTATTTTAGCCCCATCCACCTTATTTTTTGTTATTTCACTCATAACCAAATTAGGAAGTATTGTATTTCACTGCTGGTTATTAATTTGTCTACCCTACTATTTTACCATTATCTTCTCTTTTTTTTTTTTATAATGTTGTGTCCTTTCAGGACATAGGTGATTATGGCTTTCCATGGATTCCTTTTCTTTTACTATTTGTGAATTATCCTGTACATTTGTTTTTAAGATAAATGAAGAGATTTCTTTTAATTATTATTATTATTATGAATGCACCATCTCTTTATATCAAGCACTCTAATTACAAATACTGCTTGCCTTAAGAATATCATCATCCCAAATTACCCTGGTTGACCACTGAAACACTATCTGTGTATATGCATTCTAGCTTGGGGAGGCAATCCCAAAATATGGCACCTTTGGAAAGTGCCTGATAATTATACCACATGTTAACCCAAAACATATCAGAGAAATTGTGTAGGCTGTCAATGGTTGTGCAAGCACAAAGTCCGAAGTCATCATGATTGAGGGTTTGGGCATAGAGGCCTTGATCAAACTGTTGATTACACCAGATGATGTGGTCCCTCCACCTAAAAAAAAAAAACTATGGTCTACTCAGCATAGTTGCAGCATAAACCATTGGTTGGCTGGGATGAGCTAGGTACTCTAGAAGATGGGTGTGCTTCGAAACTTCAAAACTTGCAACTTCTCCAGGAGACCAACAGCAACATCATCCAATACAAATTGTAGCACTATTTAGTGCAATGCCAGTAGAAATATGCCAAATCCAATCACAGCTTTCATTAATTCTCAGTTGCTTGAGAAGTGACTGCAAATTCCACATGAAGACTGAACTACTATTGCTTATTGCCCCTCCAGGATGTGGACAATTATGGCACTCCACAACTTACTATCCTTTGTTGCTCTTAGTAAGTATTGTCTTTCACCACCCCTCCCAGTGCCTGTTCTGTCAACCATTTACACAAGATTGTCAGGTAAGTTACTTGATCTTTCAATATGTCCTGCATGTGTCAAATTCTCTAATCCCTCTTTCCCCATCATGTGTCCTAGAAATTTCAACTGTCTCTTTCTGATTCTAAGTATAAGTGTCCTTTTTGTTTCCATTAGATTACAGCATGATAAGAGAAACCATAACAGGAGAACAATCCTTAGGACCCAAGGAAAAACATTGACAACATTATTATGCAGTGAAAGTTAAAAAGCTTACAAAATTGAGAGCACCATGCATCCTCTATATAAACTATTGTATTTGATGGCCTAGATGTGTGAGTAGCATAACAACTATTAGCATAGAAAATGAAATCAGTGAGCCAGGTTCAAATTCTAACTGATTTTGTTACATTCGCTTTCACACTAAAGATCTCAGGAAAGGCATGAATTCATCTGTTCTTCCTGGTTAAATAGGTTGACTAGGCTCTCTAGGATTACACTGAATTCAAAACCATGAAGATGGCAAGAGGAAACTGCTCCACTATCTTTCTTAAGAGATGTAGGGGAGTTATAACTAAATAATTGTAACCCCCCTAACATTTATGGTTTGGTTTGTTGTGTATTGCTGGTAAAAGTTTTTTTTCTTCAAAAATTTATTGCTGATAATAATTTTTTTACAAAGTTTCCTGGTATTAAAACCCATTTTACCTCAGTTTCAGGGTTAACTATTTGCCCATAGCTGGGACCCTAACAGGTGCTACTACCCAGGGTCAGAATGGACCTGGAAACACCACAGTTAAGAGGTGGTTCCATGCTCCTCAAAACCTCCTGATCAGAGGCCTTGCTGCTGGATGTAGTTTGTCTTACCCAGGACGTGGATGTAGTTTATCATCATACCCAGGATGGCCTAACATTTATGCATATAAAAAATACTTGTAGAAGATGAGAAACAGTAAGAAGTGCAAACAATAAAACAAGTATTATTTTATTATCTTACTGACAGTGGTTATTATGTGGTTGTTCTGTCAAGAGACAGTAATACCAAGGAAATAGTTTATGGACTTTCTTGTATGTTTGTAAGGAGTGTCCAGATAATTTAGTGTTGTATCCTTAAAGAGATTACAAACAAAGGTACTCTAGTAAAGGAACAGCAACATGTGCTTAGATGAAAGAAGAGATTTTTATTGTAAAAGAGAATACACTACTGAAAGACAGGGAATCAGGTGGCAGGCTAGTAATTCCCGAAGCAAGGTTATTTATCTTATCTCCCGTGAGGCAGGATGTAGCACAATAGCCTCGTCTGGGTTCCATGCCCGATAACAGAGAGTTCAACCAGCACAACTGGAGACAAATCTCCAACTAATTCACAAAGCAAGCTCCTAGGTATATCCTGTCCTCACTATATATAGCTACTGATATAGTCAGTCCACATAGGCAATAGGGAGTGTGGGACATTCCCTTACAACACCTCCACCTGAGCTAATTTTCCTATGAAATTTTGCTCAATATCTCTTCTTTTTGGGGTCAGGACATAATTATTTGACTTTTTTCCTCTTCCTAGTACTTTTCCATCTCACTAGCACAAAATTTAGTTGGAGAAAAAACAAAAAAAAAAAACAAAAAAACAAAGAGTTTTCTTACTTAAAATTTTAGTTATGTGTGTTAAATATTGTTGTGGCCAGAAAAGGAAGGGAGCCAAACTTTTGGTCAACCCTCATTTTGATTGCTTGCCTTATACTGGGTGTGTAACATGTTTGTGTGTGGTAGAGGTGAAAAGTGTAGTTGATTCTCATTGGTTTAGAAAGGGTGAATCGTATTAATGATAATTATAATTATTTGTGATAGTATAATTAATTTTTTATTTAATTTTAAATGGACAAGACAGAAGTCATAGCAATTCAGAGATATTAAAAGAAAAAGGAACCTGAGGAAATGGCATTTTAAAAAGCTAAATTTTTTTTTTTTAAAATTGATGGCATATAAGAATTTTCACCTATCTAATTTTAACATTATAGAGTTAGGCAAGTTACAACTACTGGTAGCCTATGGTATCTGTGTAAACATGAGCCTAACACATGCCTCAACTTCACATATAAAAATCTGAGAGATATTTCCAAGTCACTTTTGAGAGGAAAAATGTTGTTGGTTGGTGGTGGGGTGTCTTATATGCCATCAAATACAGTAGTCTGGCTTTGAATAGAATTTCAAATGCTTTCACATAATTTTGTCCGAATGAAAACAAAAATCTATCAAACTATTACTTATTATGACATCAGTTCTTTACGTGGAGTTCATCTTCAAATTGTATTATTTAACTTTTAATCCTTGGATTTTTACAAAGGTAGCAAAATATAATCCAGCTTTATTTCACAAACCTGTTCCTAGTAAATTGCCTTCACTTCCTACATGTTCTGGATTCCCAACACTTCCTCCTACAACGGATCCTGTTCCAGTTCGACTAGAAGGGGGTGCTACCAAACTTCCTCCTCCTGCTCCTATCCCCAGTCTGGTCCCTACAGCATAAGAGGGTGCTACAGTGGCTCCAGGGGTGTCCACTGATGAAGATGCTACTGAGGTAATGTTGCTATAATTAGTTGAAGGTTGAGAAGGCTGAAAACATTTCTTGTAACCAGAGATTGAAGGGTTCGAGGAAGAGGCAGTTCCAGAGACACCCAGAGAAGAGGCTGGCGGAAGGTAGGTGGGTAGTGCTGCTGGAGACTGGCTGTTCACTTGGTGGACACTTAAGTTACCCATTGACCGGTTGTGGACAAATTTTGATGGACCTGCCACCCAGCGTCCGGAAGACTAAAAAAAAAAAAAAAAAAAAAAAAATTATTTTGATTTCTTTATATATATATATATATATATATATATATATATATATATATATATAAAGAAACAATTTTGAAAATCTATTGTTTTTATATCTCATACTGATAAAATGCCTAATTTAACATATTTGACAATAATATTTCTGTCAAGGTGATGAACAACTTTCTTGATGATTGATTCAAAAAGTTAGCTGATGACACTAAGGAGGTTGATGGGGTGATAGTGTGGAGGGGATGAGCACTAACCAGCATTGTCGTAAACAAAGCGTACAGCTGACACCTTCCATAGGATGAGAAACCGTTTACCTTCAGGCAGAGTTTAAACAATTTTGCCAAGATTGAAGATAGATCTGGGCTCATTCATTAACACTCTACCTTGAGTGGCTCTTAGGCTTTGTATTGGCTGAACAATAATATTAAAAATAAAATCTTAAAAAAATTAAAAGCAGTAGTAATGAACTGAGTGAAATTGTTCACATACTAAATTTTAAGTTTTATTTTACAGTGCCGAGATATGACCTCTCAGCAAGACCCTCACCTCCAACATCTTTGGCTTCACGTTCCACACCATCAAGAGGGTCCACTGGACTGATCTTATGTCTAATGAGGAGCTCCACTGGAGGAACAGCAAGCTGAATATCTTCCATACCATTGATCAGTGCTGTGTCTACTTGTTTGCTTGGTCATGACAAACTGATGACCATCCTACCAAAGTCATCTACCAGTTCAACCTGCCATCTGCAAAACTGGTAACACTCTTGTAGCAGACCATACGGTCACTGGAAATACGTCATCCACCAGGACCTCCAGCATATTAATCTGGCAGTGAAGGATGTTCCAATGCTCTGCTAAGACCATGAGAACTGGAGGGACAAGGTGACCCTCATGGGTTCAATGCCTTCATGGCATAAGATTTAGCAGCAGAAATTTTGGTATCTGCTTTATGTTCTTCATGGAACCACAAAATCTATTAACAGTACTATACAGTTTTAAATGCAGATATTTTTATTTTGCAGACACCACTTAGCAAGACATCTATCTTAAGAAAATGAATGTGTGACTCACCAAATTAGAATTAGTAAGAACTGGAGAGACAGGGGCAGTTCTTCGTCCACTGCATGGTCTACGATGGCTGGCATCAGAAGTATCCAAACCAAATGTTGGAGGAGGTAAAAATGGAGGAACAACTGGCTTCAGTGTTTCACACGTATTGGAATGTGCTGGGCTCGAGTCCTGCAAAAGACAACAATAAAATTCAATAATGATGTCTAAAAAAGTTAAGCTAATAATAAATGCTGCTGCATTTCAATTTATAATTGTCTCCATAATTGGCTAAAAGGAGAAAAAAATGTGTGAGGTGAAAATGAACCCTAACTAGCTATGGGTTAAATAGTAGAGCAGACTGGGCTATTCAGTCTTGGTTGGTAACCAGCTGAGGATGAAAACTGAATTAAAAACCAATTGGGCATAGTGTTAGCAACTCCATCCCATAAAAACCAATATGCTCTGGAAACCATAGCAACAACACCTCACAGACTGAGAGTACCATACTCCTCAGTGGAGTCTACAGGACTTGGGAGAAAGTGAGAAGATGTAAACATTGTATTGGCTTTCACTTGTCCTGAGTCATAATGGATATAATAATGCAATAATGAAGAGTGAGAACTAATGATGCATATTAATTATTTTCTTCAGCACAAAAAGACAAAAAACATCAGTGCAGTGCTTATAAATCAGATCTGAACTTGCTCAGTGAATTGAATTATAACTGACAGCACCAATTCATGCCACAAAACATAATGCAATACAACAATCTCCTTCCTTGTCAATGCACTTATATATATATATATATATATATATATATATATATATATATATATATATATATAAATATATACATGTTTCATTGGATGTGACAGACCAGGAAAATTTTATAAGTTTTATTTTTTAATATTCAGTTTATCTAATGTCTTTGCAATTTTTCTTTTCTGAGAACTAAGAGTGTAGAATCTCTCCACAGTGATTGTCTGAAAGCACTTGAGAGAATAATCGTTATGGACAGTTTCTTCACTCTCTTAGTACTCATAAAAGAAAAACAATAAGAACATCAGAAAAACAGAATAAAGGAACTGATAAAAATTTTTGTTATCTGTCACATTCATTGAAACATGTATAAAAGATATATATATATATAATTATTTATATATTATATGCGTGGTACTTATTAGAAAGCGCTAAATATCAGAGATAGAGCTAACATATTTGGTTGGATTGATGTGAGTCTGTGACTCTGGGTTTCATGCTTTTGCGATCATCAGACAAACTGATTAATTTTTTAAAACAAAAGATCAGAGATAATCTCCAAATATAGGCATGAGAACAAGTACCTATTATCCGAATTTATACCAAATGGATAAAAAAAAAAAAACAAACAATCACTCTTTAATTCAAGCTACCATCACAATAATTACATTTATCATTATTATCATTGCACCACCATTAGTAATCACTTCTACCACTTTACAATAACTATTAACTACTAATATTATCATTACCACCAAGTCACATCTACTATTAACATATAAATCCACTATAATTATTAACGTAAATTACTCCCCCCAGCATATTTAATACCACCAAATAAAAACCAATAACATCAGAGATAATTTCCAAATGTAGGCATGAGAATAAATACCTATTACCAGGATTTATACCAAAATAAATAAATAAATATATGAAATAAAATAAAATACCAACCACAATAATTACATTTATTGTTTTTTATTATTCTCCCACCACCATTACTAATCACTACTACCAATTTACAATAACTATTAGCCACTAATATTATCATAGTCACCAACCCCCTTACACATTACTATCACATCACATCTACTATTATCATATAAACCCGTCATAATTATTAACGTAAACTACCCCCTCCCCCAGCATATTTAATACCACCATAAAAATAACCAATAAGAATTACAAACTGAAATTTCTACTAGTCACATATGCAGAGTCATCAAAAACAAGCAAATAACCAGCTTTAAAATAATAACAAATAAATTTCTTTTAAAAATTAAAAATAAAAATTATAGCAATTTTCAACTATCATAATTTTACACAGAATACCTATTATCAGGATTTATACCAAAATAAATTAATATATATAACAAAATAAAATGCCAACAATCACTTTCTAGTTAAAGCTACCATCACAATAATTACATTTATTGTTTTTATCACTCCCACCACCATTACTAATCACTTCTACCAATTTACAATAACTATTAGCTACTTATATAATCATTGTCTCCAATCCCCTTACAACATTACTAGCACATCACATCTACTATTATCATATAAACCCGCTATAATTATTAACATAAACTACCCCCTCCCCCAGCATATTTAATGCCACCATAAAAATAACCAATAAGGATTACAATTGTTTTAATTTCTACCAGGTTATATACAGTCATCAAAAACAAGCAAATAACCAGCTTTAAAATAATAACAAATAAAATTTTTTAAAAATTAAAAATAATAGTAATTTTACCTATCATAATTTTACACAGACCCCACCACATAAATATACGATATATATAAGGAAATATTATTCAGTGGAAAAATATAAAAATATATGATTATGATATTTATACATTCACGAGAAATTTTCACACACACACAATCTTTGAATTTCAACATACAAAGACGTATGTATAGACACAACACCACCCATATACATAAATATGTCAAATCCCAAACTGTCCACATATGTTTATATATGTATGAGTCAAAACAGACGAGCAAGTGTGTATGTATGTCAAATTTATAAATGCCTCATTGGGTGTACAGACATGCATCTATGTTTTGCGTTAGCATGATGACATCACAATGACGATTCCCCCAGAAAATATATAATAATATATCAAAACACGAGTTATCTACATAAATCCAAATTTTTAAAAATTAATCAGTTTGTCTGATGATTGCAAAAGCGTGAAACCCAGGGTCACAAACTCACATCAATCCAATCAAATATATATATATATATATTATATATACTGGGTGTAACTGCAAAATTATCGAATTGTTAGATTAAGCTCTGAACCATTGTATCTTAGAAATGATTAAAGATATCTTACTATAAGGTTTTTATAACACAATCGGACTCTACTTTGAGCAATAAGAATGTATAATTATTCTCTAAGTTTTACAGAAAAATCGTGATGAAATTGATCATAAATGAAAGTGACATGTTCATCATTAATTAATCATAGTTAAGGATTGGAAGCTCATGAAGTTTTGAAATAAAGTTTAAATTAATTATATATATATATATATATATATATATATACACACAGTGTAACCCGGATATAAGAGAGATTTTCTCTGGTCCCAAATTAGAGCCTGTGTTAATGTATAAAAAATAGACCAAACTCGGATATAAGAGACTTCTTCTCGGTCCAACAACTCTCTTATATCCGGGTTAAGATGACACTGTATGTATATGTATATATATGTATGTATTATTCTAGGATCATTTTCCAACTTATTCAAGATGATCGTCACCCTCTCTAACCTAATTTTCTGTCCTGGAGTAACAAGGTGCCTCAAAGTTTTCAAGTACTATTTCATTTTCAAGTCTTTTTTCACTGCTCTTTGGCCTGTCATAGCTGAAACTCCTCTCTCACATGCCAAATATCTTATGAATTGTTGGATCTTTTCTAATTGATCTCTTTAGCTCTAAGTTGAAATAATGATCCCTCTTCCAGTTGTTCCCTCTTTTTCAAACTTATTCATTGTTCTCTTCATGGTTCTTGAATGGACTTTGAAGACGGAAGCCAGAGTATAAATGTTGGTACTATTACTGAAGCCTTGAATGATCTCTTTCCTCTTACCATTGCTCAGGTGAGAAGACAGTGGGACTTGCACAAAACAATTTTAACCTGCTCTCTTTTTCGCTGAATAACTCAAAGGGTTTTTCAATGGTATCAAGATGGCTAAATGCCTTATCTGAAACCCTGGAAAAAAAAGAGACTCAATTATTTTAGTGGTTTTTTTAGGTATTAAAGATTTTGTGAGGTGGATAATTATACTGTTACATGATTTGGACAATTTTGCTATTACACCTGGTATATATAAGAGAAATAACCACAACATTTGAAACATATACACAAACACACACAAAAAGAGGAAAAAAAATAAGAAAAAAATTCAAGCTAACACAAATAACTAATGTACAAATTAGTCACAACAAACTTAGTATAGAGATAATGAAAAAATGTGAAAAATTGTTGAAACCTCCTGATGAGTGAAAAAAAAAAGTTAATCTACAAAACTCTGAAGTTGTTGTGCTGAATACAACATCAATCAGCCAAGTGACAAATTTTATTGGTTTACTGCTAGAAATTGTCATGGTTTTCATTTGTGGGTAACAATCTGGGCAAAGGGTTATTTTGAAGCCACAAGCATTTAACTGGGAGAAGCTGCACTCTGTGAACAAACCTGGTGTTTGGTCTGAGCTGCAATTCTACAATTGGGTTTCTGGTTCCTTCTAAAGTCTGCTTCAGCTTGGTACTCCTAACATCTGCACCTGAACTCTGAAATTTTATTCGCTATTTATTTCATTTTATTTTTTCTCTTCCACCAATAGGAGTAGATAGGTGAACCTATCATCTGGTTTAAACTCCACCCCCGTCTTTTAAACAGGTTTATTCCTCGTTTCCTGTTTAAGATTAAGTTTCCACTTCCTTCTAAAGTATGCTTCAGCTCTATACCCCTAATGCTTGTTCTTTCCTTCACTAATATGAGTCTACACAGTAACCTTCTACCTTGAGTGGCTCTTGGACTTTGTATTTGGTGAACATTAGTAAAAAAAAAAAAAAAAAATTAATCCTCTAAAATATATATGTATGTATGTATGTATGTTGCAAGTCACGTTTACATCATTTTTGTTATTAAATATCCCACATTATGATAACAGATCTGCCAATAAAGGTTAAATGTTTTAGGAACTTAGACATAAATTTACTGTGGATGGTCTAGCAATTAAAGCACTTTCTAAACATTTTTGTCTTAGTAAATTGTTTTCTGTGTTAATTACAGTAGCATTTTATTTCAATTAAAATTATGGTCAGACTCATTACGGTGAGCAACTAATGCATTTAGTGTGTTGTTTTGTAAAAGATCCCTTTTGTGTTCATCTTTTATTTAAATTCCCTGAGGTTTCTCCTCTGTATTCCTTATTACACTATTATACATATGATAGAGTAAATTCCTTCTTCAAGTTTTAGGTTATTTTGTTTTGTATTAAGTCTTTTATTATCCCAAAAGTAGTTGTAACAAATGTTATGTTCTACGATTCTACTAATGGAAAAGTATTTAATACTTTTCCATTGTAATTGTGATAGAGTTGGTGGGTAGAACAATATATTTTGATCCACTGGGTCCACTTTTCTATTTTTAAATATTTTACAAGCCTGAATACAAAAATAATTAAGGTATTGGAGGAGCTTAAAAGTATTTTCAAAGTATTTCTCCTCTTCACATAAATATTGAGGGCTACAAATTCTGAGAGCTCTTAAATAAAATCTGATGATTTTTCCAGATTTTATTTTGTTGTTATGGTGAGAATAAAAATTTATGCGATCCATTTTTATTAGCTGATTTGTGATAGACACTTAGTTTTTTCCTTAAACTTTTTCTTGATATAAAAAATTTATATATTATTTTTTTTACTTTTTAGTATAATGTTAAGTAAAAAAAAAAATGGTTGGGCCCATGAACAGTATAAACTAAGTTACTAAGTAGATTTTGAAAACTCATTTTGGAAAACTAAAAGAAAATGGTAACTTCAATGTTAGGAAATATAGTAACTGAAACTATGGTACATACCTGGGTACACATTGTAGCACTTCTCTTGGTTTCTTGAAGCATTGTCTCATAACTGTTAAAGTCAATTATTTGCTGGCTTTGTATAGGGGCAGCTGGAAGTCTTTGGTCAACTATTGGTATCTGATAGAGAGAACAAAGGAACAACTAATTGATCCATATAAAATATCAGTAAAATATACAAGTATGTGAATTTCTTAGATGAGACATTGTCATTATTATCAATTTTCGACAAGTCTTTCTACTTCATTTTTGTTGCAACTCTCAGTTCATTATTTTGTTGTTTCAATAAAAAGCAACAGAAAAAAAGATGATAGCAACAGTAGAATATATTTATACAAGTTAAAAAGATGTCAGCTTGAAAGTGTAGTAATATTTATAAAACATGTGAACAAAACTTATTTAAAGAAATTTTGTTTAATGTTTGAAAGAAAAAAAAAAAAAAGGATATTTTACATCAGGTAATTTTTGGTGTTCTTGTTCTGAATCATAAGTGAAATGAACAGTGGCAAAATGCGGGGAGCCATTAGTTCGTCCAAGTTTGAGGTTACGGAATCGGTTTGACATTCGACTCCACCATGCCTGAGAAAGAGAGGGAACAAGATTATTAAGGAGGGGAAAAAATAAAAAATAGAAGAAGCAGGAATCACACAAAAAAGTTGTTTATGCTATTTACATTGTCCAGTCTGTTATCCTTATTCTTGTTGCCATATTCACAATGTTTCGGCAGTTGTACACTTCAGCCGTCTTCAAGTAATTGGAATTTCAAACTGAACCCATTATTTCATCCACCGAGGTAGATTGTTCTAGTTCCGCATGTCATGCCTCTTCCAGATGTCTCAGTTATCTCCCTTTAATTCAACTCTCCAAGTTTTTGTTCACCACTGCAGTAGCCAGATATTGAAAGACACATGTCCCAGTGGATAAAAGCGTTGGTTGGATCCAGTGACTTGATCCAAAGAGTTTTGAGTTCATGAGTGAAAGGGAATACTCAAGAAATCTTATTAAAGAAAAAGATATGTGCTCTCTGGCAGGATATAAAATCTTCTGACTATGAGAACCAGATTTAAATCTCACCATAGTTGATTTGTCAGGAAGAAAACGCCTCGATTAATAGCAGTCTGAATAAATGATCTCAGTATGTGGCACCATTGGGAAGTACCTGAAAAACATACCATGGATTGACCCAAGCCTCATGAGGGAAATTGGATAGAAATAACTGTTTAGAAGCTGTTAGCAGTTGTGCTGGCACAAAATCACAAGTCATTGTAACCAAGAGCTTGAGTGTATTGATGTTGTTCAAAATGTTGATCATGACAGATTATGCACTCTCTCTCAGAAACTGTAACAAAGGCTCATTCAGTATAGTTACATTACAAACCACATATTGGCTCTGTGGGTGTTGAACAAACACAAATGTGCCTGAGCAGGTGTCTGCAACATGGATTAGCTAGCCACCTGAGTAAACAGGCATACTCGGATATGAGTAGCCAGCCATACCATATCTAACTAAAAATCCAGTTAATTTGATTATCTGTGAAATTAGCTTAAAAATTAAACAAAATTTTTTTGTCAGAATTCTAGTTGTTGAAAACTTAGATTATCCATTATTTCATGCTTTAGGTCTTTTCTCACACTATAACTGTATCTTCTCATTCTCTCCCTTATACCTTTCAACCTTTGTAGTCCATCCATATTTTTATCTAAATGTTATGCAAACATATGCTAACAAGGAAATCACAAATATTTTCTATGACATCTTTCATCCTTCTGCTTTATCTTTCCATAAAGAATTTTAATGACTTACAATTTTTATGCCCTTTCCATTTACCTGTCTTGTTTATTGTCTCTTGATATGCAGCTAGTAAGCCTAGTTTTCCATTACCCACTTCATTATATATATATATGTGCACGTGTGTGTGTATTTATTACACCACGAAATAATGAACAAAAAAAAAAGCAAACAACCAACACTGAACAAAATTTATTATGATTATAGTAGCAATGTTTTAAAATGTGTTTGACCAACATTTAATGCCAATTGCATTTTTACCATCTCTGGTTAGAAGGTGCATTTTTTGTGTATGCAAAATTTATGTATGCCTACATGATACAGCTCAAAAATCAAGAGAGAGGAAAAAAAAAAAAATCACAGGCGAACCTAGTGGCTGCATTCCTACTGTATGTAGACTACATCTTAATATCAGATCTGAAAAGCTGTAAAAAAGAAAAGAGGCCATGGAGATAAATGCACGCTTCTTTATAGGCTTAATGAGTGCCCCATAGAAACATTTTTTTTTCTCAGCAAAGTGGGATAACCCACACCAATATAAACAGTTTGATTCTCCCCAGTTACTCCAATAACAAAGAAAAACAGATAGAAAACAACAGTTAACCTATTGTCTGCTCTTCATAAGAAGAGGCATTTAATTTTCATTGAGTGCCTAACTTTATGATCCTGTGGAAGCTTAAAGTAAGAATAAATATATACAGAGAAAAAAAGACTGTAAACTTCTATGGTGCATAGCAATGCAAAACTTCATTTTTATAAGACATGCAAATGATCTTTAAACATGTCGGCTTGCACACAAGCCACCGGAGTGCTGTGGTGATATGTCTTGCAAGGCCCACACAATCCTTGGGTGGATCATTTTCCAATTTCTTTTCTATGAGAATTATTGGGAGTGGGATGTTATGATTGATTACTTATAAGATCATGGAACACCAGATCTACATGTTTTTTCCGAAAAAAATTAAAATATTTTTTATTTGATTTTGGTTTTCTTTGTTTTTGTTTCTTTTGTTGTGTTTTGGGGTCATTTTTTATCTTTACTTACACAGAGCTGTACCATGCATTCATGTAAACTAAAAGATTTGGTAAACAAGAAATTTAATTAGCAAAACATTATGAAATTAAAAAAAAATAAAGTATACTTTATTTACTTAAGAAACAAAATAATGCCTACAACCAGTAAAATAAGGATTCTAATCTAATAGAAATCACTTTCCTAATAAACAAACAAAAAAAAAACATTGTATTCCTATCTGATTTCTTGAAAAGATATAAAAGAAAAAATATAAAAGCACATATTGCTACACCACTAGGAAAAGTTGAATTTATTCATATTTTATATGTCTCTTATTGATACACTCGTGACAAAGGGAAGGATTACCTTCATATTCAGCACAAAATGTTTTTACTTTTTTGGGGTTTTTATCAGCATCCTTTGCACCCATTGTTTTCCTCGTTTCGCTATAACAGGATTTAAGATATAGCACTGGGACCCTGAGACAACATGGGAAATGAGGCCTGGGACCCTGAGACAACATGGGAAATGAGGCCTGGGACCCTGAGACAACATGGGAAATGAGGCCTGGGACCCTGAGACAACATGGGAAATGAGGCCTGGGACCCTGAGACAACATGGGAAATGAGGCCTGGGACCCTGAGACAACATGGGAAATGAGGCCTGGGACCCTGAGACAACATGGGAAATGAGGCCTGGGAACCAACATGTTAAAATACCAAATTCTTTATATGGATGACCTTAAACATAATCAAATTGATTAAAATGAAAACATTTGTTATAAAAGTAAATATACCAATGTATATCTTTTTTGCCAATGTACTTTAGAAATTTTTTTTAATGTTTACTTCTACATGGACATGGTGCCAGACTCATTCAGAAATATCTGAACTACCTGCTGTATACAACCGCTTTCTTTGATCAGCAGTTAGAAACGGCTTTGACAACAATCCTTCTTTGAACCTCATGGACTGACATTACAGAATCACAAACGAAGAAAGGTACTAAATAACAGAAATCACTTAGTATCTGTCTATATTTCTGAGATGAGGTATTATGCATACTATTTACATTATTCGGACTATTGTCCTCATCTTTGTTGCCATATTTATCACAACGTTTCAGCCGTTGTACACTCCGGCCTTCTTCAGGTGTTTGGAATGTCAAACTGAACCCTTTATTTCGCTCAATGGGGTAGACTGTTCTAGTTCCATGTGCCATGTCTAATGGATGTCAGTTATCTCCTGTTAATTCCCCTTTCCAAGTTCTCCACCACCTTCTCCAGGTATTGAACTCACACTCTTTGGGTCCTGTCACTGGGTCTAACTAACGCTTTTATCCACTGTGCCATGTGTCCTTGAGAAATCACAGAAGTTGAGGACTTTTGACAGCAACAATAGATTAAATGAATATCACTTGAAAAGAGAATGACATAAGCAAAATGCTGATGTTCTACACTTGCCCAAACAAAAGAGAAGAAAAGAAAACCCCCATCAATACTGGAAAGAGTAATAACAGCCACTGGAGTTGAGAAACATGTTGTTTAAAAAATAATTTAAGACAAAGATTTTATAAATTTCAACTGAAAGCAGCAATGACTGCTTGGTCAGTGAATGCCAACCGCTAATATTGTCATTACCATATTGTGCATAGGTGAGTATGTTGTTTGAAAAGTACACATTTGCAAAACAAAATAAAAGTACTTACTTTTAAACCATTTCGTGAAGGATCATCATCATCACTGTTTTAAAAATGGAAAAGGCACTTCATCAGAACTAGCATAAGCATTTTGTGTTTGTTAAAATGTTTGGATTATTAAATAAAAACTAAAGACTTCTTTAAATTAAATTTATTTAACAACATATTTACCATTTTGTTAGACGATCTTCCGACATTCTTGAGCCAACTTTATAATTCCATCCTCCCACAAACATTTGTCTTACACAGCAAAGAACTGATTTTGCTGCCTTCTGCAGTCTTCCAAGGAATTAAATACTTTTTCTTAGGGGATTTTGCGAAGACCAGAATAAAAAGTAATCTGAAGGTCTAACATTTAATGAATATAGCAGAAAAGTGAAAACTTACAAAGCAAGCTATTTTCCTGGGTTTCCCCCCACCACCAAAAAAAATTGCTGTCTAGCATTATCCTAAAGGAATATAAAATGATCCTTTTTTCAATTCTTTTCATCAACTGTGGACTTAAGTTGGTCTATGAAAAGTACTTATTCCATTTAATTGTTTCACAAGAAAGAACTTATAATAGAGAACTCTACTTTAAATTTTATCATATACACAACATCACATTCTTTGATATTGTTATTAATGGTTCATATTGCTTGCCCCTATAATATCTTGTTGTAAAGTATTCACTTTTCATTGCATATCATCTAGAAGTGCAAGAATGTCTCCAATTGCCAGATGCTATGTTCTTTAATGAAAGTATTTATGCACTTGTGCAACAATGGGACAAATGCCTTAAACCTGATGACAATTACATGGAAAAAAAGTAAGATAATATTGGTAACATATGAACAATTTTTATTTGTATAGTACATACACATATTGAATTAGTAAATGAATGCATCTTTCTTTTCAGACATCCACAACATATAATCATCCGTCATGTATAATATCTATTAACCGTACTTCTAACTTTCAAGTATATATTCTTTTTACGGAAGACAAATTTCATATTTTCTAATAAATCAAAAATGGCAAGGCTTTTTTGGTTAACTTATATTTCAGTATCTCTCTTCTCCAAGAGGACCTACTTCTATCCTGGCCAAAATGTTTGGTGAATTGAAAGAAATTCTACCTGTAGTCTGGAGTGGAACCATTTTGTTTAACCAATGGTTTTTTGCCTTTCCCTTGGCGTTGATTAACTTTCATTGTCTTCTCTGCCAGCAAACGCAAAAGTTCTGTGTCAACATCATCTACAAAAAAAAAAAAAAAAAAAAAAAAGCTATAAGATGCTACAAAAAGATATATGGGTCTCTTAAAGATTTTATTTTATTGGTAAGACCTTATTTTTTAAAAATTGCAACAAAATCTTTTTTAGAGTTATAAAGCCAAGGGTCGTAAATTCATAAAATTAAAAAAATAGGCAAGTTTTTCCAGAAGTGATAAAATAAAGGATCATAAAAAAAAATATCAAAGAAAAAATAGCAAAAGTCAATTAATGGTGTCAAACTTGGTTTTAATGCAAAAATAAGTATACAGAAGACATCTGATTACTGTTTTTTTAAGGGAATTTTGTCCTCTGTTGCTAGCTATATAACAAAACAGCCATTTAATGCACAAAACATGACAAGTGCATGAAATGCTGAATTAGACTAAAAAATATTGAAATAAATTTGGCAATAGTGCATTTTAAAATCTATATATTTATATGAGTAAATAATATCTTAACTTTATCAATAAAATAAAGCATTTCTCCTCATTTAGATGGGAAGATATTCAATTGGTAAAACTTAGTGGGGAGTATATTCAAATGGCCACTCTAGCATAGTGTACAGGATGTTAGGGCTATCTTGGAAAATATGGTTAGTGAATGTTTTCTTTGGATAAAGACCTGTCAAAAGGCAGATGAGCTTATAGAAGCCAACAGGTATATACAGGGTGTGATAGGTAAATTGTCAACATTTTATATCTTTAATTTTGTGCAAGCAAGTTGTTTGTTTTTGATTTTGTCGACTGCACAGCATAGTAGGGTCAGTTGGGTACTGTCTGTGAGAAAAAAAGCACCATGACACAATGTTTGGGTGTCAATCTGAGGAAGGTACAGAGAATTCAGGAAGAGTTGGATGATATATCTGGTCAACATCATGGTGTTTGGAGTGATCACTAGTGATGACAATGTTATGCCTTCCTACAATACATCTTCCTACAGGGCCTCTGACTCAACATGGAGGCCTACATCAATTGCCTTGAGGAGGTAGTGCTTCCCTGGGCTAAGAGGATGGCTGCTGGAAAACCCTATGTCTAGCAACAGGACTCTGCACCATGCTACACAAGCAGGATAACCTAATCATGGCTGTCAGACAATTTCTACAACCACATCACCCCTTACATCTGGCCACCTAACTCCCCAGACTGCAATCCCCTTGATTATTATGTGTGGGGCGCAGTTGAGCAAGAGACCACCAAAACTCCTTGTAACATCAAAGATGAACTAAAGGAAAGGATTATAGCAGCATTTACCAACTTAAAACAAGGAGACTTTGAAGTTGCCTGGTGGACGTGGTTGAAGTCAATGGCAATTTTATTGAATAAATTTACTCTTTAGTATTTCAAGATATTTTTGTGTAATTTTGGTAAATATATCTGTTAAAATGAGATGTCAGTGTTATTTTCATTTTTGTGTAATTTGGATGACAATTTATCCATCGCACTATATATATATATATATATATATATATATATATATATATATATATATATAAAGAAATATAGTTTTAAGGTGTGCTATATTTATGGGATAAAGTGCTCAATATCAGAGAAAGAGCAAATGTAAATATAAATATAAAAGTGAACATTGAAGTCAACTCAGAGGCGACAGGCTGTTTCATGCTGGACACAATCGTCAGAGCCTGAAGATTGCGTCCAGCATGAAACAGCCAGTCACCTCTGAGTGTTGACGTCAATGTTCACTTATATATATATATGTGTGTGTGTGTGTGTGTGCGTAAAATAACTCCTGTCACCTTAATTTTAAGAGTGAATATTCACTTAGATATAAAATAGTAGTTATAAAAAATTTCCTAAAGAGAGCACACAAGAATTCATCCCCTCATCTCCCTTACATCAGCCATACTACTACATGCCTATCTAGACAACTTATGTGACACCAACTTGATCATAGCTCAATTCAGACTCATTTAAACCTACCAAACATACTAGTAGAAAATAAATATAATAGCCTCATCCACATGTAAAAAAGATAAAAAATAATGGAAGCCCTAATAATAAAAAAGAAAAAGCTAACACTCAATAATATTAACTATGAATATGGTCACAATGTGCTGACCGTGTTTGGAAAAAGAAAACGTTCCTATAACTTTAGACACATACATACCCCCCCCCACACACACATCTAAAAAACAATCTAATTCTTATAAAATGTCTCATTTAATTCTTAGAAATAATTCATCACCTCAAAAATCTACCCTATTTAAAAATATTGTTGTTTAAGAATTCTTATATCCTTTGGGAGATTGTATGTAGAACACTAACAATCAGCATTAAATCCTTACATTGGACACACATGCACCACACTCTCTCATAGGCTGACTTGTCATTTGTTAAAATTTAGTGAAATTCGCACAAATAGAGATCAACATATCACAAATAACCTATATATATATATATATATATATATATATATATATATATATATATGTGTGTGTGTGTGTGTGTATGTATGTATATATAAAAGGCTAGGATGGGGTCTCAAGCCTTGAATGGCAAACTTCCTAGAGATGGTGTTAATAAAAACACTCAGTGTATTTAGACTACCATAGATGTTTGAGTTGGGTGTCAGGAAGAGCATCTGGCTTTGTTAAACCTTGCCACAAATCATTATGACAAGAGATCCTCTGTCAGGCTGGACCCACCTTGTTTTGTACAAGATGAATCTTGGTCCTGCCTAAAAAAAACACGGCTCTGTGGGGGTTGGGAGGAGATGTGCACACAGTGTAGCAGCTATCAGCAGAGAAAGTAGGACTGGTGTATCAAGATTAAAGTTCAGGTGAAGCTGTTGCATTCACATTCACACTTGGAAAATTTTGAATCCATCTCTTCTCCCAGCTAAGGGTTAAATAGCAGAGTAGACTAGATTCTCTAGCTTTGCTTGGCAATCAGTCTAGAAGGACAACTCTGAAGACAAAATTAATTGGTCATGGGGCTAACAACTCCACCCCCATAAAAACCTACTTGCTACAGATAATATAGCAGCAACAGTTAGCATGGTGAGTCTTATACTATACAGAGACTTTCTTCATAAAAGGTACACTTTTACCAAGATATGCTAACACTTTACAGAAACAATAAATTTTGCTGTGGATTGGAAGATTTTATCAAGGTTTTTTTTTTTCTTGAAATAAGAATTTGTCCAAATGCAGGGCCTTTTCATTCCTGTTGGTGGAACCCCACACTTTGACCATGTCTTATGGGGTGTTGCTGTACTCACCATGCTTGGTCAATTGCAGGTTGGTGAGGTTTTGAGTTGTACTCCTCCTAGACCAGTTGCCACCTAAGACTATAGGACCAAGTTTGTCCTACTATTTATTTATAGCTGGGGAAAGAAGAGATGGATTCATTACCAAACAATATTTGCACACAAGTGAATTTAACAAACTTGACTCTCCAATTCCTCAATCTGAGCCACTATCCATTACTCCACCATGCATTCATAAAAAAAACTAAAAAAAACACTGGGGTTAAAATAGGAAACTAAAATGATACATATGACACACTCATATCCTCTCTCCCACCTCACTTCCTCACTTCGTTAATTTTACGTATACTTGATGAGGTCCGTCAAAAACGTGTGAATTTCTTTTCATTTTTCATTTCAGTTTTTGGAAGTAAAGTCTGATGATCCAGAACCCTGTTAAAGGGGTTATGGTGAAATAGCTTATTACATGGAATCTTAACGTGGTCTGTTTTTATTCAAACATATCTGCTCTGAATTTTACATTGAGCTCTCTGGATATCATCCTCCTCAGGTCTACCAATACGGATTACCTAAATTTGCATAAACTATATATATATATATAAAAAGAAAGAACAGTAAGATATATAATCTGGTGTTCTTATAGATACTTTTATTTTTACAAAATAGCGCTCAATGTAAATTTACAGAGCATTAATATTATAAATTAACTGATTTAAAATATGGTTTTTTATATATATATATATATATATATATATATATATATATATATATATATATATGTATGTGTGTGTGTGTGTGTGTGTGTGTGTGTAAAAATTCAGATATAACTAAAAATATATCTGTAAAAGGACAATATGAATAAAGACAAAAGGGAAATTTATCTTAGGCTAAGATAAGCTTTACTTTTGTCATATATAGAACAGTTTCATTTGAAAATGAAATATAAAGAAAAGTATTTGTAAGAGAAAAAAAAGTGTACTGACCTAAGAGAGAAGCCATGTCAAATGCTGTACATCCATTTTTAGCTTGCAAGGTGACCTCAGCTTTAGCATCATTGACAAGAAAAAGAGCAACAGATTTTTGGCTAAAAAGAGAAAAAGAAAAACATAACAAAAATAAAATGACACACAAGTAGAAGAAAATAAAGAACAATAAAAAATAGAATAAAATTCAAGCAGTTTAAGTAAACAAAAACTATTGACCACAATTTAACCCCTTACCAGAACAATTTTATGAATTATTTCCTCTATCCCCTTTAAAAGATCCATTTTTTTCTTAACCCAACATTTTGAAGCATTTTTTTAAAAAATAAATTAAGAGTATTTAACATAGATATCATGAAAATGTTTTTCTTTTACTCATTCAGTCAATAAAGTGCCATCTTACTTATTATAAAACGCAGATTGTGTGTGTGTCTGTACGTTTATATATTGGATCGGATTTCCTACATTTTTCAACAGATTTCAACAAAACTTCACAGGACTACGTAAAATTACCTTGCAGTGGTTCTGACAGTGTCAAAAATTGGAAAAACAATTGTTTTTGCATGAAATCAATTTGAAAATACGATTAAGAGGCATTAATGAAAGGGGGACAACTCATATCGAGTTAAACTTATTAATATCGAGTTATCAAGTTATACTTATTATAAAACCCAGGCTGGTGGTGCGTGTGTGTGTTCGTTTATATATGGGATCGAATTTCCTACATTTTTCAACCGATTTCAACAAAACTTCACTTTTTTTTGGCAGGTAGTGTTTCTTATTGTCTTGCACACTTTTTTCCTTTATTTTTACATTCAGAATGCTTTAAAAATTCCATTTACAAAACAATTGTTTATAATAAAATTCTATTCAATTGGTAGACTCATAACGATTGAAAACAATGTTTTTGTTTGAGTTTGACCAATTCGTAAAAAAAAAAAAAAAATAAAACTAATTAAGACATGCGTGTCCGTCAACCTTAAACAATAATCTTTGTCAATTTTATTTTTCAGTCTTTATGATGGTCGATACTTGATCTATCTCTTACTGTTACATCCCCGGGCAACGCCGGGCTCTACTGCTAGTATATGATATATGCTTTGGCGATTCTCTTTCAATTCTTGACTGACTAGGCAGAAGATTTTTTTCCCCACAGTAAGTTTCACTTTCTTTCTGCAGTAGATTGTTTGCCAACCAAGGCTATACAACCTATAGCTCTAAGAAGAGATGGATTCATAACTTTCCCAAGGGTAAAAGCAAATGCAATTAACCCGACTGGAATTCAAACTTGGCTCTCCAAATTCAAGCCGTTATCAGTTACTTAAAAAAAATAAAAATAAAATAAAAACCCTTATGTCCCAGAAGTATATATTGGAAACAACCTATTAAAAAAAAAAAAAAAAAAAAAAAACTCCAAGTACAAAAAGACAATGCTGTTGCATAAAAACTTGTATATATACAAAAATATTTATTAATATAGCTGGAATTCTCATTAACAAGTGGGGAAGAATTTTCATCTTTCTAACAACAATAAATATTTCACATTTAGCTAAAAATAACAAAGACTGTAAACCTGGCTGTTTTAGCTGATCTAAAAGAATATAAAGTCACATAAGAAGCTCAGGAATTACTTATTCTTGTTTCAAAATGTAACAGAATTCTCAAATATTTTTGGTTAAATCCAAAATATAAAGTTATTTTATAAACAAGTCTTGATATCTCAAAGAGAATATAAGAAAATGATCGCACTTGGAATAATCCATTAAGATATTAAAACCAAATTTAATAACTACAACTGAAAAGAATTTATCTAAACTTAATATAAAAGTTGTCACAACTACTTAAAAAAAACAATGAGAGATTTAATTAATAGAAAACAAGATAATAGATAACCTAAAATCTTGAGGAATTTCCAGAGGAATTTCTAAAGAAGACGACAGATTTTTAATCTATTAATCCAACAAATTTTATTAGTTAAATTTTATTTTTAGTGGATATTCATATTTGAGTAGACACTCCATTTATTTATTAAACAGTCTTATTTATTTATTTATTTTCATCTACCAGCTTGAATATTCAAGAAATCCTATTAGAGAAAAATATGCCCTCTTTAGGATTCAAACCTGCATTCCCCTAGAAGAAATCATTATTTGACCTGACATGATTTGGACCTCTTGACCACAAAGTTTGATGGTTGAGCAAAAATAGTGCCTTTAAACACAGATTTTTCTCTTACACTTGAAATAGACACATTGGCTCAGTTTCATAAAGAATTCATCCCTTTCTTTAGAAACTGCTTTGTTTACATTAGCATAGGAAACTGAGCAGATATGTCTATTTCAAGAGTCAGAGAAAAATTCATGTTTAAAGGCACTATTCAACTTTGACCATCAATGCACTCTGCAGCAAGAGGTCCAAAGCATGTCAGATTTAATGATGGTTTCCCCTAGGGAAACACAGGTTTAAATCCTGCCTGAAAACCATACATCTCTAATAGGACTTCAATTATTTAGACCAGTAGACAAAAATAAATAAATATACCGTTTAATAAATACAGAGCGTTTACTCAAATACAAGTATCCACTAAAAATAACGTTTAAGTAATAAAACAAAATAGAGTGTAAAAAACAAATAAAAAAAAAATAATAATGATTCACAAGAAATACATAAGTCAAACATTTAGGAATTAAAATAAAAGAATATGTGAATACAAAAGGGATCCTTTACATAATAAATGCATTTCCATTCATTGTAATAAGTTCAACTATAATTTCTACTTAAAGAATGCACTTTTAATTGAGAGAGGGTAATTTAAGGTGAAAATGTATTAAAAGTGCACTAATTTCCAAGTTTTCCATGATAAATTTATCTCCAGGATCATACAAGATATCACCTTTCCTAACAAGTCTACTGTCATTAGAATGTGAGATATTTAAAAACAAAAAAAAAAACAATAGAAATAAAGATAATAGTAGGAAGCTGAATGAAGTTGGCTAGATTGTGCATTGGAGCCAAGAATTTAAAATTTTAAGTATCCCTGTACCTTCAGTGATCCTCTTGATGTATAATTATAACCTACATTATATATAAATGATCTCCTCAATGAAAAACATTTAGTCTGAAGAAGTCCTTTTGAAGGATGAAATGCATAACAGAGTTTTGTCATTCAATCACCAACTATGAGTCTGAGTTTAGATATCATATTCTCTCATTAAAAAACAAACAAAATATTGACATTTCTAATGCAACTTATTTTTGAACACAGAACATTTATTTTAATTAAATACTTTTATGAAAAAAGAAAAAATTCATAGATCACATAAACAAGTCTTTTACAAAAAAAAAAAGTATTCATAATCATTTTGACCTTTTAGAATTTTCATGGTGGACAAAATGTAACTTTATAGCTTGAATATTTTTTTCTGTTCAAATTTTATGACACAAGTTATTCTTTTATATTCAAGAGTTTTCCATACTAACATTATCATTTTTTTTGTCCTATATCACAATGTTTCATTCTTATTATTGGCAGATTAAATCACCCAACACACAACAAAAATACTTCTCTGAAAGAATTACAAGAAAAGTTTTTATGTTCACAACAAAAGTTCTCACATGCAGGAATAATTTTAAATTGACAAATTTTAAAACTCATATTAATGAGGCTTAAAAAAAAAAAAAAAAAAAAAAAATGGAGGGGTAGACACGTATACAAAAAAATCAAGAAGGCTTATTTACCCATGGTATGTAGCTTGCATTAGTGCTGTCCAACCACTGATGGTGTCCTGCATATTGATATCACAACCTTTGTCTACTAAGTACCGGACAATGTCCAGCCGTCCCATCATTGCAGCAAACATCAGTGGAGTTGCTCCATCTTGTGGTGAACAAGCATTAACCTGCATCCTATCTTCCTTTACAATTTTGTTAATTCGTTCAAGATCACCTGCAAAAAAATAAAATATGTAACAAAAACATAATAGTGATATAAAAATATGTAACAAAAACATAATAGTGATATAAAAATATGTAACAAAAACATAATAGTGATATAATTAGAAAGAAAAAAAAAAAAATTATTAAAAAAATTTTCCCTTGTTCACTTTTTTCTATTCTTTATAAATATTTACTTAAAGGCCACCAAAGGCGGTCATTAAGCTCAATGTCAACTTCACATTTATAGAATTTAGTACTGAGAGTTAGCATAAATGAAAGACTTTACTCTGAAATTTAAAAAAAGAAAAAAAGACTGACATATTAAAAAAAAATTTTTTTTGACAAAAACAATTGAACAGAATGTTTTAAAAACTACTCTCTTCAGAATTTTACCTTTGTATCAGACTGGTGCTTAGTCCTTACGAAAATTCCAACTATGTCTAAAATTTTAAAGTTAGCTTTACTTGTACTTTTACTAATCCTTAATCAGAAGGAGTCTACTATTAAATGATTTTTGAACATAAATGTTTAGAAATCAGGGAAATTATGTTTTGTAATAAAGTGTTCATGATGGAAGAAGAAAAGAAAGCAAAATAAAAAAAATTCAGAATTTTAGTATTAAATAATGATTGATACATGTAAAATAATTAGACACTTATTTTGTTAATAACATTATATTCATTTAAAGATATATGCAAATAAAATAAAGTTTTTTTGACAAAACAAAAGCATTAATATTATTTTATGAATATCATTATTTTATGCAAAAATTAGTAATCTTTTCATTTGTTTTCCTTTTTCAATGTTGGTAGCATTTTTTTCAGCATTTGTAACAAACACAAAAATTAGATGATTATTAACAGAGACCCCACATTATTAATTTGAACACTACAATATTTTTGCTGTGTTACTTTGTGACTCAATGAATACTCGTTTGACACTTTTGTGATGCCAACAAATACTCATTGTCACTTTGGTAATACTCATTGTAGTAGAGACTTTGTAATTGAATACAACTATAGTATGCCGTTGAACAATAGTGATGTCAGATGCCTTCAAATAATCTTGCACTAATAGTACTTGCTTGATAATACTCGCTAGACAAATAACCTGTATAGTGATCCATATAGTATAGATAGACTAGAATTGCAGATCAATCTAGACATCATGTGACTTCCTATATATGTGTTTCCTCTATGGTCACATGATCCACTTAATTCAATGATGGATCGTCTGTGTTTGCTTACTGGTGATCTAAGTTCAAACTCAAGTGTTGGCAGCGACACTTTATTCCTATATAACAGTTACACTAATGAACTGGGAGGGTAAATATCTAGAAGGAAAACCCTGATTCCAAACTTTTACTGCATTGTAGCCATAGCTAATCATAGGAAAAATTTCAGGAATAAATCCTGAGGATAAATACTAGAGTCAGATTCCCAAAAGCAAAGTTTGATATTGCATCTAACCTCGTTATAGCAATTCCTGTAATGAAACTAGTGCCAAATAGTAGCAGACCCCTACTCTTTCCTTGGATAACATCGATGACATGGAGAGAGGAAATGGGCAATTGCTGATATCACATAAAAAAAAATTCTGCCCAGACCTGTGCTCAGCATTGCCTCACCTGCATTCAACTGGTAAAACAAATGCTATACTACCACCATCAGCTGAATTAAAAAGGCACTCTCTAAATGCAGAACAATAATCTCTTAAAACTGATAAATGCTACACACTCACAAAATCATTATAAGAAAGATCAACTACAATTAGACTGTAGTATGAAATTTGAAAGGGATATCTGAGAAGTAATGTTGTCACATTGCCCACAGTCAAGTGAAGCAACATTGTAAAAAATGAAAAAAATAAAAATTAAAGCATTGGTTTGTGAATTTCATGACATAGTGTTTTAACCTAGAAAAGGTTACTGAATGAGGAATAACCAAAACAGAGGTTGAAAATGAAATGGTAATCTTTATAACATCAACAAAATACAATACTTGCTAGCAGCATGGAGTAGGTAAACCACTGCTTGTTGTGGACTACTTAGACAGCATATTACCCGCCACTTACAATAGTGTCCAATGTATTTATGAGGATTAGAATATACCCATTAGTTTTCATATGTACAGTATATAACACATAGTAATTGTAAATTCAATCTCTGGGCTGTTATAATGAATGTATGGTTGCAAAGGGAAGAACAAACAAGGATTAAAATTTTCATAAAATATATATATATATATATATATATATATATATATAGAGAGAAAGAGAGAGGGAGAGAGAGAGAGAGCTGTATAAAAAGGTGGCAAATTGTTGACATGTGGAAGGGTTAGCAAAAACTGAGCAGTACTCAATAAGAACAAGACATCTCTAAACATGGACAGGGAGTAAGAACAGTCTATCCCTGTAGATTAAATTCTGGACGCTAGCTGGGACCTTTACGCCGGTAAGTGCTGGTTATTATTGTTATTCTACAATTGAATGTTACCTGGATTAACAAGCACTTGATGAAGGCCAGAGTGTACAATGGCTGAAACATTGTGATAATAAAAACAAAGATGAGGACAATAGTTCAAGTGTAAATAATGTAAATAATGACGTGACGATGAATACAAAATCCAACAGGAAGTTGGAAAATATTATCTTGGTCTAATGATTGAAGCCAGGAGAAAGCCAAGTATTCAACCCTAAAGAGAAGATGAGAATATATATTCACATTAATATGGATTCCAAGAATTGTTCAAATGACTGAACACATCATTGTGCAAGTATATAATCTTTAAGAAAAGACAAAACCGACACATTTTTTGTTATAGAAAAATATTCTTGAACAAGCCTGGTTAATAGACTAACTGGTGTAACACATTACTAGCAACAATTTCTTTCCTGTTCAACAATGTTTTTTTCTGGCAGAGAACGTACTCTTTCCTAATAAGAATGTTTGAAGAAGGCTGTAGAATGCATCAGCCAAAAGAGCATTATATAAAAACCAAAAAAAAAAAAAAAACCCACAAAGAAGGAGTTCAATCATCCAAACAACTCTTAAAGTGGTAATGACTCTTCTCAAAATTATAGAAGGTATCTTTACAGTATAGGATGGATTGGCTGGAACCTTGTGGTAACAACAAAAGGAACACAAAGGAGGAGTTCAATAATCCAGACAACTCTTTCTCAAAATTATAGGTGTCTCTATCATGTAGAATGGATTGGCTGAAACCTTGTGACAGTAACAAAAGTAACACAAAAATATGAGTCCAATAGTCCAAACAACTCTTGAAATGATAACAACTCCTCAAAATTATTACTTGACATTAAGACCATTTTATACATTCTATATTTTATGAGTTATCTCTGAATAAAAAGCAATATAAATTTTTTATTCATTTAAAATAGCTGCTTGTTTGAACAGTGTTGATTGAATAAAAAGTTTTGTTTGAAATCCCATGGCTGCCAAATATGGATACCTGACAAAAACCAAAAGGTACAAAGGCCTGAAAGTTTGTGACAATAACAATGAAAATAAAGATAAAAGTTCAAATAAAATCAGAGAATAATTATGATATTTCCTCATTTTAGAAATCACCAGAGAAATTAAAAATATATCTACATAGTAATTTTCTTTTGGCAATCTAAGATTTAAAGCAGAAACATACCATGTTTTGCAGCATCAATTATATCTGGTTTTACTTCTTCCGGAGCTGCAATAAAGAAGAAATGAATCAAATTAAGTTTGCTACAAGGTGGTGCTGAAAAAGGAAATCCTGATGTTTGGTCACAAATTGTAAAGTAGCATTTACATTTAGCATTCCCCCTCATCAATGTAAGTGTAAAGTCAAATAGCCTTATAGAAGCTGATAATAACTTACAATAAAAATGATGACAACATTAATAGTAGTGAGACAAGATAAAAAAAAAATATACTGAATTTTCCTCTTACCAAAGTAAAATGTATCTGTTAGCAGTATTAGATGTTGGATTTGAAATTCTTAGTTGAAGCAGTGTCAATTTATTTTTGACTAGTGTTTCTTTTGTTTCGGACTAGGGGTTTACGTGTTATTAAATTAGGAACACATGTGTTTATTCCTGCTAGAAGAAGGTCCACTATAAGAACATGGCAGACTCAAAGATTGAATCCACTATAAAGAAGTGTAAAGAAAACCAACAAGGTATATCAACAAATATATATATTAAACGACAAAATTTACAATGGACATAGACATTAACATTTGTGTCTGTGTGTGAATGTAAAAAGTTTGTATTTTGGTGAATTTTTGTACATACATACATGTGTGTTTCATGGCGTTTTCCCACAAGTGGGCAAAACGCAGATCTCTGTGAGAGGTTACATTTTGTAAATGTGTCTGCTGAAATGCAAAGTAAAATGAGAACGAGGCAAGAAGTCGCCCAGTATTTATAGTGTAGGGAGAGCACCCCCTAGTGAACAATTTGGACAATTGAGGAGGAGTTAACTCTGACACTTTCATCTTAATTTCAGTTGGTTTTTATCAGTATCTTAAGATTATCATTCTACACGTTGATACTTGAACTTGCATTCCTTATCCTCAGGAGAACCTGCCTTTCTGTGGTAGCTACCTTATTGATTCGACCACAAAGATTGACTGGTTAGTCATTCAAACCTGGTATGGCACCATTTTTGTTTATATGCTCAAGTAATATTAGCAACTGAATTTCAAATGAAAGAAATACAAATTAATATTAAAAGACATTCATGTTTGAGAGATGAATATATTCAACCACAGTAAAAAGATACTTAAAAGTTTTAGCCAAATAACTTAATGATCTGTTTCAGCAATAAGAAAATACAGTGTATTCAAAGTTTGCTTTTTATTTATCAGAAGATATATTGAAGATTAAAGTAAGATTTTCATGGTGGACAAAATATCTTCACAAAATTGTAATGTAATTTCATAAAGAAAAACATGATATTCACAAACCTTTTGAAAAGGCCTATACTTTAAATAATGCTTTAAAAACATGGAAAGATAAAAAATTTTGGATGAAATTACAAAAATAGGCATTGTGTATTTAATAAACTGACCAAATACCTGTCTTGCAAATAGAAAAAATGCTTTGATGTTATAGAAGTTCTCTTCTTTCTTTTAAATTTTCTGTATAACAACATTTTCAGCAAGACAACTATTTTATAAATTTCTTTTTATCATTATACTAAGTCCACTTGAATTTCCTATGCTGGACATAGCTACATAGAGAAATATTTTAATAATGTTCTAATATTTATATTAATAATAATAATAAAAATGAATTCAGCAAACTTAATATTTTTTCATTTGTTTAAATAATATGGTACAGTTTTAAGAAAATCTAATTAAATATATTATTTTGACTTTTATAGATAATTTCATAAATTGTTTTTCATCTCCGCTTGACTAGTTTGTAGTAATATGAAACAGCAAACAACAATACTCATTATGAATGCCATAGGTTTTCTAACTTGTGACTGAATTTTGACAAAACATATATATATATATATATATATATATATATATATATATATATAAATAAATTCTTTCTATACAATCATGATTAATTTAAAAATAAAAATTTATCAAAAGAAACATTTCTTATATATAGCAAATTTTAAAATAGGAATTAAAAATAAATAAAACAAAAGAAATATTTATTAAAATGTTTTTATGCAAATTACTATTTATTAGTGTGTGTGTATATATATATATATATATATATATATATAAAGCTGGTAAACATTAATTGCATATTACAATCTATTTTTTCTACTAATGTAAAGTGGGGACACACAGACAAAATTTAGTTGTATGCATATTTATAAAAAAGAAAGTAAAAAACAAAAATCAAATTAATTATAAAAAAGAATTTCAATAAATCACAAATTTTTAATTATTCTTTATCTTCTTCAAAAGAAGATTTGAAATCCCATTTTAAAAAAAAAATTAAAAATCTTAGGACAAATGAATATTTTTATTTTCAGGATAAAAATGTTTACAAAGCTTTAACCAAGTCAGTCAAAAGGTTTTATGAAAGTCAGATATATGTTTCCTTTTTTTTTGTTTTTCAGGTAACTGTTCAAATAATATCGATTAGTATACTGAAATTGCCACCTAGCTAATATTCAACAATGATTTTCTACCAAATTCAACCAATTTGCAATACTTAATGAAACAAGTCTGTAATTTTATGTTAATAATATCTGATAGGAATATGAGGTGAGGGGATGTTTTTCAGAGACTTTCTTCAAGCATTCAATCCTCTTCTTGCAAAGATTTTAAAAAATTCTGTTTCTCTCCTTGTAGGTTGGGTATTTAGATAACTTTCTATTATCTGATTGTGTGTGTGTGTATCCAAAATTCAGCTGGGTTCACTCACTTTTTTAGACCAGTGATATCCTTTGAGGACTGATTCTGCGCTTGGTTGCTTTGAGGTAATCTTCTAGATCAACTAACAGAGTTCCTAAGTTTTTTTTAATGTTCTGAGGTGGCACCAAGTACAAAACTTACTCTTAGGGTGAACTCACTACATATTGGGATCACCACAGATCAATTCTTCTTAGATCAAGGTTCCTGATAGAGATTAAATTTGGTTCAGCCTTTTGCTATTTCCCATCATGAATCACAAACTACAGTCGGAAAAGCAATCATTTTCAAAGAAAAATTCATTACTCATTGAAGTTAATTTCTCTGCAGTTGAAAAGAGAAATTATAAACTGCAGCAAATTTAGGGTGTCTTACCCTGAATAATTTGCAAACTAATCTTGCAAGTCATTAATATTGTAATAAATTTGCTCCTCATGGGGTACCTGACTATTGCAGTATGTATCAGATGAAAGTAAGATTAGTAAGTACCAAATTATTATCATGCTTCTCAATGGGGTAATGGTTAACAAACTAATTTAATAGACTCTTACTATTGTAGTGAGTTTGATTCTCACTGGATGCCCAATTTTGTGGTGATTATTCAAGTAAATATCAGTTTATTAAGTAATTTGCCTTGTAACTGAAATATATATATTTATAGATTGATAAAATATAGTTTTATGGTATACTATCTTTATAGGTTAAAGTGCTCAATATCAGGGATAGAGCATATGTAAATATAAAAGTGGACCTTGAAGTCAACACCTGGAGTTGTCAGTCTGTTTCATGCTAAACTCAATCGTCATGGCCTGATGGTGATAATTCAATGTCCACTTTTATATTTATGAATTTATATATTTAAATTACTACTGATCCCAGAGGTTGGTGTTCAAACCTAGGTAAAACCTAAAACATTGAATGCTGATTTTCAAGGTAGAAAATGAGCATTCTTGCTTCCTATCCTCATTTCACCAGATACTATACAAAAGTCAAAATATGTAGCAACTGTATACACTCAACAAAACCCTAGAAATTTTTCTTAAGTGATAAATTTCTTTTTTTTTTCTTATAATCTTTAAAAGGCTGATACGTGGGTAGCATGCCAATTAAAATTATAATTGGCAAGTAGAGTCCAAATTTCAGCGTAATCTTCAGTATTCACTTTCAGGCTAATGCCCTTGGGAAAGGAATGGATTTCCTTCACCAGCTATGAGTTCAAATAGTAGGGTAAACTGGGCTCTCTAACCTTGGGTAGAAAAACTTAGGAAAGACTACTCTGCATTCAAAACCATGAAGAAGGCAACATTAAACCACTCCACTGTCTTTCCTAAGAAGTCATGGCAATCCACAGATAATAAAGAAAAGGAATCTGTAGAAAAACATGTTTGCAATGTCCTGAAACCATATTCCAAACACTCTTGGTGTATGCTGGGAAACTTCATCAGTGATGTTTATTCCTGGTGTCATTGAAAGTTTTGGGTCTCTGGAAACATCAGACCCCTTGTGACCCGGGCAAGTACAATCACCACCCAGCCAGCTTCCCAGCCTCTGAATAGAATCCGCGAATTTCAAGCTGGGCCACTTATTGGTCTGCTTCTTTTTGGCTTTCAGCCAATGAAAATTGGTTTGGCAGTTTCTGTGGTCTCTGTTTGCCTATTTAATGTTGACTTTCTCTGCCATTTTCTGGGGTGTAAGTCACTTAGTCTTTTCTTGATTTGCCTTATATTGGTATTTGTTATTTCTGTATTCTTTTGTGTATACACACACACAGTTGCAATGTCCTGAAAGAACATAGCACTAACAAAAAGAAAAAAATCCTTAAAATCAAGAATTTTTTAAAAGCATTAAAACCAAAACATAAAAGGGGAATTTAATTTAGAATAACATATTAGCAGGTAATCAATAACTTACAGACTTTTGGTTTGTTTGTGGTCTTTCTGTCAAGGTAGCCTCGCACCTCACGTTTTCCTCGAATCGTGGCTATCTCCAGAGCTGTTCTGTTGTTGATGTCAGTCAAATTTGGGTCCCCTCCCCTTTCAATAAGTACCTGTGCTGTTGTCATGTGTCCATTTTGAGCCGCAGCCATAAGTGGAGTAAGTCCATTGGATGGTGTTTGGTAATTTACTTCGTACCCTCTGTCAAGAAGGAGACGCAAAACAGAATCGTGGCCATTTTGAGCAGCAGACATCAAAGGGGTGATTTCACAGTCTTTACCTGAAATGAAAGAATGGAAAACTAACTGCATTAGCTATCAAACCTTCACCAAGTAATAATAAATTTAAACATTTTTGTCAGAAGGTGTGAATTATTTTAATGATTATTCAAAAAAAAAAAAAAAAAAAAAAAGAAAAAAAATAATTAGTGAACAGAATTCAAGTTATAAATATTTGTGCAATTTCTGCACCTCAGTCCTACATGCTTTTTGCTTTTCATTAACGACCTATCTAATAACATTCTCAGATCATTAGTAAACATTTATGCAGATGATACTACTGTTTATAAATGCCTGACACAATAGGTCCCCACCACGCCATTGGATCAGGTCACGTATATAGAAGTGGACAGTAAATGATTTATCTGAGTGTGAAGTGTCTGGCATTTTTATGACCAGCAGTAAAGTTTATGAAGCAAAATCTTCACTGGCCAAAAGGAAATAAAATAGATAAATAAATGAAAACTTTCAGGAGCAAGTGCCAATTGGACAAGGAATTATCATTATTTACATATTGACCATTGTCCTTATTTTTGTTGTTGCTGAAATACCTTCCAGCCTTCAACAGATGCTTGTCAATTTGAGCAATGTACAGGGAATTTTGGCGAGTGCAGTCAAGCATGGCCAGCAGCAGCACTCATCAGCAGTTAGATTAGGTTTAAGACTCCAAGTCTCCACTCAGGATTGTCCCACAGCCTAGTGGATTCAAAGCATTGGTTTATGAATCTGATGATAGGCATATCATAATTTCCAAGTATTAAGTCAGAACAGTTTTTAATTTTTATTTTATGTTTAGGTACTTGTATAATAAAGTGTTTTTATAACCCAACACTCTTTAAGATTTAAGGCTGATGCACACATCAACAGATTGTGATATTTCTAGCTGCAGCAGATTGCAAAATCATGTGACTTTTTTTTTTTTTTTAATAAATTGCCACAAGTGGCCAGGCTGCTGGGCAGTGGACATTTTTATTGAGACATGTTTTCTAGATAGATAACTGACCAAAGCTAAAAAGCTTCTGTTTATACCCCTTAGTTGTGGACTTGTGACAATGCCCTAGGAGGCACAGTGGACATAATGGTCAGTGGCTTGGATTGAGAAATTGGAGAACCAAGTTCAGATTCCAGTAAAGTCCATTACATTCACTTATATGCTAATACCCTTAGGAAAGGTATGACTCAAAAGCCAACCCAAGTACAGGAAACCTAGTCTTAACAAAATTTTGGAATCATCTTTTTTTTAATGAACATCAGAACTTTTTCACAAATGAAAAAGTTTTCCATTCAATTGTAAGTATTTTCTTTTTTTAATCAGTATCACCTCATACAAGGCAGTAATGCCATTAAAACCCAACAGAAGTTACAGGGTGTAGAAGAATTAGGAACACAAACAGTAATGATGAGCAGAAAGAGAAGACAGTAGATAGCAATTGATATTGCATTTAAATTTTTGCAGATTAAAGTTGGCTGGAAAGCATGGAGCTGGAAGTGAGTAGATATTCAATAAAAATTTTGGAAAATTCAAAAATGCAGTTTTTTTTTTTTTTTTTTTTATGAAAGTGATTAGATATTTTGCTAGGCAATCAGAATAGTTTTTTTCTAAGAAAGTTTTTTTTTTTTTTGTTAGTTACACAATTTAACAAATATGGCCCGAAAAACTCTTGCATTAAATCATGAATTAATAAAGTAATCACAAAGAAAGACTATTATTTTTTTAATTTTTCCTGTATTTTTAATATTCTCTTGGATATTAATTGGGGGAATGCACATCATCACAAAAAAGGGACCATAATTGCTCCTTTACGTTCACGTCTTTCTTTGATCACCAAAGATTAAAAACATATCTCAAGAATGCTAATCTAAATAAAATTATTTAAAAAAAAAAAAAAAAAATTCCCTATTTTTTTTTTTTACTAGCGGACCAGTCTACAATAGTGTCTTACCACTGTGAAAGAAAGGTTTTTTCAAAACATTGCCACCTGTACAAGAGCGCACGGGCCCACTTTTGTACAGTTATCACGTTTTTTTAAGGTAAATAATGGTCCACATTGACATTATCTACAGTACACTAGTTTCCAAAAGAAGGGCTCTATCAAACGTATGCGCTTCTTAAATCATACAAAAACTTGTGATCTGATTGCCAAAATTGACTTAGATTTTATTTTATCTATCAAGTTTTAATTAACAAACACCAAATTTATTTACTTTACCTTGTCGGTTGGATTCAGCTCCTGAATCCAACAAAAGGCGAACAATCTGTAGATGCCCACCTCGAGATGCGATTGTCAAAGCAGAAGCTCCTAGCCGGTTGAGGGCATTAATATCAGCCTTGTTTTGCAGCAATAGGGCTACAACGTTTGTATGTCCATGTCGACAGGATTGCATTAACGGTGTCCAACCAGCCATGTTAGCTTTGTCCAGGGCAGCCCCTTTCATCAAAAGTAACCGGACGACCTGCTCCTGGCCGTTTGCGGCCGCCATTTGAAGTGCGGTGGTCTCATCCTCATCCACATCGTCAACCTGAACTACGCCCTGTTCCAACAGGTTCTGGACGACATGGGTTTCTCCATTCTCGCAAGCATTCAACAACTGACGAAATCGGTCCATGTTGTCAGTTTTCTTCCACACCTGGCCATCATCATAACAAAAGTAACCATTTGCCTACCTAGTATTACTTAAAAAAAAAAAAAAAAAAAATTGGTTAGAATTTATTTTTGTTCCTGTTCTGTTCAGTAACAACAAACACATAAGTATTTTGTAGTAATAATTCAGGATTTTTTTTTAAATGTGAAAATTAAATATTTAAAAAGAGAGAAGTGATCGAAATGATAAATTAAAAATATAAAATTACCAAAATTTAATTTCGAAATAAAAAAACTACACGGCAACCGAAAAATTTCGAGGAAATAATGTAAAAGTTGATGTTACATATCAAAAAAGAGTGTAAAAATAATACCGTTGAAAATTTTCAGATCAGATAAATAAATTAAAATAAAAACAGAAATTATTAAATTAAATAATAATTTGGAAACACACCACCAGTCCAAAGCGGGTTTTTCTTTTCAGATCTTTGTGTATACTGTCAGAAAAGCTTCATACGACATATTTTAACTCGATATTTAACTTCCAATATCCAAACAGGCCATTTTCCTTATCAAAAATATTTTCTATAGCCTGAATAGGTTCTATCCAAACTTTCTTAAAAGTTTTTCGAAACTTTCTTAATTAGTGTTCGCCATTTTGACAACTCACTGACGTCACGTTACCCAACATTCCACTCTTCCGGTAATTCCACGTGCGTTTGGAACGTAAACAAAGATTTCGATCCAAAGTCAAAATATTCGCGTGTTAATCAACTAAAACTGCATTGCAACTTAATCTTTGTTCTAAAGCATATTCTTTTTTGGATAAAATTTTTAAACACTTCCTGGCAGTTTCAGAAAACAAATAATGAATTAAATCGTGTATTTAAAAAATTGTGGACTTTTTACTTTCGTTTCTTTGCAATGGTTCCAGAGTAACTCAAAGTTACTCAAACCAAACACGTTGAAAAGTATAGTTTCATATTCAAAATGATAACTTAAAACCACTTTTTACTTGTTTTTGAAACTGCAAAGTCCAATTTTCAATAAGTCGATATTGCCTTGAATTTTTTAAAACGTTTTACTTTTATTTTTTATTTTTTCGTATGTGGTTTTAAGGGTTGTTGGTTAACAAATACGAGGAAACTAAAAACCTTTGAAAATTGCCCCTTTTTAAGACTTGGAAATTAGAGTATAGCTTCTTACGCATTTTTAAAGCATAGAAAATTGGGCAATTTAACCTTCGTGGCCGCTATTATGTTAACTACCTTGATCCTCGGTAGTGTTTTTTGCAAAAAAAAAAAAAAAAAAACGATGATTAAAATTTTGATAAAACCAAAACACACGATAAACTGAAATTTACATTTTCTTTGAGAATTTACAATATATTAAAGATTATTACTGTTTAGTGTTTAGTAACTAAACTTTAGTTTATTTACAAGAATAATTTTCTATTTTCAACATTCTAAAATCTAATAAATGCAATGCAATATTTATCATTTATAAAGCAATAGCAATATGAAAATTTTTTATTCATAAATTTAAACATTTACTAAATTATTGAAATATGTGAACCGAGAAAATTCTTATTACGTATTACCATTTTAAAGTTCGAATCGATTGGCAATTAGCCAATATTTTGCCAATTCCAATCTAATAGCACTTTTTGACACACCGTTTTTTTTTTTTTTTTTTTTTCAAACACGAAAGTTAAATAATTATTGTCCCTTTTCTTTTATGTGTAAAAATTTTAATTGCCATGCCTTCTTATGGAAATTATATAATGGAGTGGTTTCGCGTTAGCTTCTCTGTTTGTATTAGAATCTTTTAAGTTTTCTTCTCTCATATTCATCCAAAACTATAATTAATTACATTGACACAAGACAAGACGATCTTTTCTTTTTATGCAGATAAGTTTATAAGAGAAAGCGGTAAATTTGCTTTTTAACGCTCGCGCTAAATATCTCTTAAAATTTTCCCAAATCGTCATAATTCCGCATAAATGTACATGCTGAACTAGAATTAACAATTAAATTATGAAGAAACCTACCGTTTTGGAGTTATAGACAAGAAAAAATCGGACTTCTTGTTGGGCATTCGTCCACCATTACTTCTTCAGGTGGTTGGAATGTCGAACTGAACCCTTTATTTTGCTCACTGGGGTAGACTGTTCTAGTTTCACGTGCCATGTTTTAATGGATGTCAGTTATCAGTTATATCCAAGTTCTCCACTGCCTTAAGCGGGTATTGAACTCACACTCTTTGGGTCCTGTCACTGGATCTAACCAATACCTTTATCCTCTGTGCCATGTCTCTGCATCGTCATTTATGACTTTTGCTCGGTGTTGGAAGCAACAGATGATCCCTTTCTTTATGCTGTATGGATGGTGCTAGGCTAAAAAAAAATCTCCTGAGCCAACCAAGCATAGAAATGAATATAATATGGGAACCAGTAATAATGAGTGCCAGAGAAAATGATAACAACAAAAATTGCAATATGAGCTCTAGTAAAAACATGCAATGATAACAGCAAAAATTGCTATATGTGCACTGGTAAAAAATGGTTGCTGAAGACATTAGGTTTATAATAGCCAGAAATTCATACATTGATGTACTCAAGGACACATGGCACAGTGGATAAAGGCATTGGTTAGATTCAGTCACAGAACCCAAAGACTGTGAGTTCAATAGTGGAGATAACTGATAACTGACATCCATTAAATCATGGCACCATATTTATGTCTACCCCAGTGAACAAAATGAAGGGTTCAGTTCGACATTCCAACCACCTGAAGGCTGAAATGTTGTAATAAATATGGTGACAAAGATGAGGACAACAGTCCGAATAATGTAAATAGTATAAATTACATGTAATGAGTGACTTCTCTCTGTGTGTGGTGTCTTTGATGATTTTTGAGACTTACCAGATGCAAACACATTCATTAAATTTTGTAGCAATATCTTCATGGAAATTAGCATGAAGACAATTACGAATATCTTTCTTGCTCAACATGATTCTGTTCAGAGTCTCTCTTACTATTGTGCACCACTTTCCTGAACAACCCAGAGTTAGGTTGTGCATCATGTTGGTCTTCTCCAATGTCTTCTTCAGGCAATCATTATACCTGTTTTGACTTCCTTTGGCCATTCACTGCACAGAAACTGCTTTGGAATCCTATCACTGTTCCTCCTGAGCACTCTATTGTAACTGGCACTGAAGTACTAGAGCAGGGGTCAGCAACTCATTCGACCCCGCTGGCCGGATCGTGTTATAATGACAGGTCGCAGGCCGAACGAAGGCCATTAATGAAAAATTAAGGAAAATTACATATGCAGACCCCTGTCAACCTAAATATTTAAAACCATAATGAAAATAAACATTGAGAAATCAGAAAAACAAAAGAAAATCTAAAATTAAAAAACAAAAATTACTTTTCCTCAAGGAACGTCAAAATACTTCAAAGTGAAAAAAATCAACTGAAGTGAAATGGATGAAATTATGATGTGTAGGTTTGAAACTGTTATTGAAAGTTGTTCCACAAACGAACCACACACACACACATCAAACAAAAACAAAGCACATATACTCATACATACGATTACAAATAGTTGCAAACATATACACTTACGTACGTACACATGCAGTATCATCCACACATTCATGAGACATGTATGTATAATGCACGTATGTTTAACTGTCTTTAGATTTCTGCTACCTTGCATGTCAGTCCCTTCCTGGCCTCTTTCACTTTATCGTTCCTTTCGCTTCTGTTATCTTTTAATGTAGCCAAGGGTCATAACAAATATGTATCCATTATTTGACATTAAATGTAGGCAACGCAACTTGGTAAAATAAGTCTCGTGAAAGATAACTGGCAGATAGTCTAATATTTTTAGTGCACTGAGATGTGTAGACATTCAATAGAAAATGACATATAACAAATTTCATTTGAAGGTCATCTCTCATGTTAAAAATAGAGTCATTGGTAATCAGGCTCGCAGGCCAGTCAAAATGACTTCGCGGGCCTGATCCGGCCCACGGGTCGTAGGTTGCCGACCCTTGTACTAGAGACACTATACTGGTAGACTGACTATGTTTGAGGATATCAATGTCATGCACTTTTATTTGCCCCTGGATACCAAATATGCAATGGAGACACTGTTTTACAAATCATTCCAGTTTTTTCATGCATCCCTGGTAAGTGACCCAGGTCTCATATGCATAAAGCAATGAAGGCAAAACAAAAGTATTGTAAATTTTCAAATTTATCTCAATTGAACTTCCATGCTGAGACCATAGATATTTAGTATGTTTTCTGAACACATTACCAGCTTTCTTGATTTGGAAGGAGATTTCATCAAGAATATTTGTTATGTTTACCATACTGCCAGTGACATGCAGAGCTTTGGTGAGGTTTGGTAATGTGTGAAGCCAACTCCTTGATTGCAAGCCCCTAAGACTCAATGCCTGGGTGAGTATAGGACCAAGTACTGAGAAATGTGAGAAAGGAAGATATTTTAAATATATAAAAGCAGATGAAACATAAAATAAACGCTTTATTCAAATTAAATATAAACTAAATTTTTATTTCACTCTGATTGGATGCTCTGCTGATATGGATGCTTGGGGCCATCCCAACCTCTACACACTACTGTGTACTGCCTAAATACAAAACCTGCAATTTCTGGCCATACACATAAATGCTCGCCTCAGAATAGGCTTCATCTAGAGAAGGTTGGCACATTAAGGTGGTCTTTTTCAAGCTAATCATTAGACCAAATGCATTGTATGCTGTAGAGAAGGAATACATCAGATGTTGCATGTCACTTTGGTTTGGTTTGGTTTATTTTGCTTTACTGCATATCAACATCTCAATGGGTTATTTAATGCTGACAAGATTTTTAGGATAGGTTCATATGAATAGGATATGTATTCTTTGTAAGAAATCAGTTTGTAGTTCAGGTTTCATTGATGTATCTTTGTAAAGAGGGTTTTTGTCAAGAGTCAAATGTATTGCTGGTAATTTTTTTTTTCAAAAATGTATTGCTGGTAATATATTTTTCAAAGATGTATTGCTGGTATTTTTATGATAAAATCTATTTTTATACTTTCATAGTGTTTTGACCCCAGTTTAGTGGTTAAATATTTGCCCATAGCTGGGACCCTAACAGGGTGAATCTGGGAACAGCAGCAATTAAGTTGTGGTTCCACACTCCTCAAAACCTCCTGATCAGTGGCCTTGCTGCCGGATATAGTTTATTGTCATACCTAGGATGAATGTCACTCTGGGATTGAACAAGATCACAATTGTCAGCATCCAGGAAATCTTTTATGATAGCTTTGTTTTGGCAGCAAACTGTCTCATATTTTACATCTTCCTTGTTGCTCAATATTTGATGTAGACCTCATATGAACATTCTTTAAAGGCTATCAAGGAAATCATAATAATGTATAATGTTATATCCCCTTGCTTTAGACCATTTCCAACCAAAATTAAATCAGAGAGCTTACCACCTATGTTCACACATTTTTTCATTCCTTCATGGAAGCCTCTAAGGACAGAGACAAAATTATCAGGATATACAAGCTACTTCAGAATCTTACATAAGGCATTTCTATTCACAGTATCAAGCAAAGACTTGACACAGGTCCATCTTTGTCTCAATGCATTTCTCCAGCAGTTGCCTTAC